TTATTTTGCTCTTGGCATTCTTCGATCTTCCTAATGAATTTTATAGGATAGTTATTTGTAATCTCTTGGATTTCTGTATTTCACTTTCTTGGATTACCAATCAGACGACTGCTGTCAGGATTACTTAGATATTCATGCAATCTTACTTTCAGTGATGTTGGATGAGATAACTTTGAAGTCTGATTGTTATTATTATTACATCCTTTAATTCCTAGAGGGACATAGGGCTTGACCCGCGCGTCTGCATTGCGTTCGGTTTTCTGCCAACTTTTTAAGCCCGCTCCAAGTCTACCCACATGCTTTCATCTCCTCTTCACATGACCTCCTCCAAGTCACCCTTGCACCGACGACCAACTCACCGCTTCCCTTTCGGGTTCCACTCGAGCACTGGCTTGTCTAGTGATGTCACTTGATGGTTTCCTTAGAGTATGGCTATCCAATCCATCTCCATTTCTTCCTGCCTATTTGTTGCACATTCGGTTCCTGCTGGGTTGGTACGCTCATTGCCAGAGATCCCTCCCTGTTGCTGATCTTTTCTGGCCATCTGATCTTGAGTATTGTGTCTGAATACCGGTCAAAATATGACGGCGGTTACTGCTTCCGTGGTAGTTTGGATATCTCGGCTTGTCCTACTATTTTTTTTGGTTACAGCTTGATTCCACACCGTATTTTTGGTACAAGTGTGGAATTTTCAGCGTGGATATCGGTAGCCTAAAATTTGCAGGCCAACCATAGATATCAGGTGTGCGTCGGCGTGGGCTCGAACCCCGGACCATGTGCATGGTCGGCGAGAGTCCTAACCACTGTGCCACCGACTACCTAACTTTACATATTACTGAGTTCATTTACTGGTAGAAAGTATGCAGGTGTTTAGATTGAAACATACTAAGTGTTTAGTTCATAAATCATATAATGCATTAAGAAAATAATCTTACATTCCCAGGCATCTCTAAGTAATATCTGCAACCATAGAACATGTTTTTTATCCAATCGCTGCAACATTTTTCTGTCCGCCTGTATATTTTCACCTTGAAACTTGAAGATTATGGTGGTTAGTTCAGACATAACTACTCAACATGATTTCTTCAACCGATAATGTAGTTCTTTTGTGTAGTACTTTGAAACAGAGTTAACTGCCTTCCTGACTGTTTGCAGAACTCCACTACAATTATCTGAAGTATTAGGGCATATGGCTTATCACATCAAACTAGTCATCTCACATCCTCTGCTATGTGAATCTCCTATAGCTTCTTTCTGGACAATCTTTAATATGAGATGCTATCACACAGACGTAAAATATCTGAATACATACAATGAAATATTGTGTGCTTTGATTGGACACTAGTAACTAGTGTGACGTGTCTAGTCCTTTCTTTGATGCAGACTGAATTCTGTCAGTCAGTCAGGTTTGCAATGTGGCCACCATTCTAGGTAGCTCACTATCAAGGTGCACATTGATTTGCTGATATTAGATAGTTGGACGCAGTCGGCAGGAATCTCTCGAATCTGTCTCCAATAATACATCATTTATGAATACTGAACTGTATTCCATTTATTCATGTATTGGTTTGTGGGGATTTTGGTTGATTGGTTACAGGATTTTATCATGACCTGACATCAGTTAGACAACCACTGGAAAACCTGGAAGTGCTGGACAGCTGTTTCGTCAGCCTAGTCTGAGACTCTTCATCAGTACGTACCCACCGAGGTTTTAAACTAGGACCTTCTGGGTACAAGGCGAGCTTGTGGACCATTAAGCCACTGGGACCCGACCCAATGACCAGGCCATGAATTCCAACTTCTGCCAATTCACTACATAACGCTACCACTAGCCAATGTCTTCGGCAAGTATTTGTCCTCACACCTGACCTGCTGCACCCTACTGGTCACGACTTCCCACTATTCCATTTAACTGACATAGCTTATGAAAGTGTCAACTACAAGTCATTGTATTGACTAATATCAGGCCATCCTGTGAGCTTGTCTTCTAACTGGCTGTTGAATTTAGACTAACCCTAGTGTTTTCTACAATCGTTAGCTTCCTGACCTTAAGTTTTATGGTACCGACACCAGTGTGGATTCCTGTATTTAAGTGATAGTAAAAGGAGCAGTTCATCAAAATGTTGATGGTAAGAGATTTCGTTTCTGTTTAGCGTCTTGAAGGGATTACTTACTTCTGGAGTCGACATATATGAGGTAATGCTCACGATTGATCCCTACAGCAGAACAAGTACAACTGCTAGGAACTGTGGATGTGAATCAGTTACCCCTCGTTTATGGAAGTTAGTCTCAGCACATAGAAACCGTCCATATAGCAGAACACAATTACCCACATACATTGATAATACTAATCATGTCAATTGCAAATTTAACTAATTATAAGCACCACGAACCTAGAGGTGAAAGTGATGAAATTCAATATAAACCAACCCCTCACTGAACTTCTCAAAGTTCCAATCAGAATTAGAGGGTTGATAGTTCTACTGTAACGACAGAAGACATGGGCCAGGCAACAGATCGTTTATTGGGGAAATCAACACATAATTATAGATGTTTACGTACATTATTATTCGTTATTACTAGCAGAGAAACAACGTCTTCTGATTGGTTGTTTTCCAGCTGGAAGTTATTCTGTTATGTCTCTGTGGCCGTTTCTTTGAGGGTCGGACCATATATCTACGAATCGTATCCGCCTACGCAAATAAAGTCTGCTGTGATCGGTTGTTCAGTAAATCTTTGTTCTTGTTTCTTTCTCATGACCGAGATTTGGGACGTAAACATTGACGTAGATTGCTGTCTACCAACTATAGCTAGCAGGCAGCTTTCACCACATGACGAAGCCATATATGAAGACAATTAATCACTGATGTCATTTCGTGATCATCATGCTTAACAAAATCTGGGACTAAAAGGTTGAATTAAAATCTCAATTTTGAAATTAATTTACAACCTGCAAATCGTACAGTTCGAAGTTTCTTTTATAAACTGATCACAAAAGGTGATCTGCTTGATACCACAAACAGCAATTAAGAAGGTAAACATAAATGGGTGTCACCGGATATTACTGATTGATAGAAACGACGAAGCCAGATAGAAGTAATTTAAATACCTTTAAAGGCTAACAGTGTGCTGACGTTCACGGATAGTACGGCATATAGTAACGCAAGATTTTATACCCACAAGTCCTAAAGTATTTGTTCCGCGTAGATCAAAGACAAAGAATAATACCAAATTGATCGTCCAAAATACGAAGTATATTTTGGGGTGATTTTCGTAGTACAAAGATGATTGTTTAACTATTTAGGGATGGTGCACGAACAACCGAAAGGAACAAGACAGAGTGCCAAATGGCATGGACGCTTGACGGCTAGTCTTCAACTAAACAAGTCGACCTAAACAGTGAAGGTCGGCGTCCAGTGTCCAATGATGAATGTTGTGGGTTAATAATTTTTAGAAATTATCTAATGATATACACCGAACGGCCGTTTCGCCCTTTCGGTTCCGGGTTCATCATCTGTATACTCAGTCCAGCTTAGCTCAGACAACCGAATCGATTCAAATAAGCAGCAATGGGCAAATGTATTCAAAATCAATGATGTGGTGTGGTGAAAGCTAGCTGTTAGTCAAAATTGATGGACAGTAATTTACATCAATGTTAATGTCCCAAATATTGGTCGTGAGAAAAATGAGAACAAAGGCTTTGCGTATGCGGATACAGTTAACACATAGATGGTCTGACATTCAAGAAACAGTCACAAAGAGATGCAAGGTTAACTTTCTGTGAGAAATAACCAATCTGAAGACTGTGTTTTTCTGCTTACAATAATCTATAATATGTGCATGAAAATCTATAAAAATATGTGTTGATTTCCATAATAAACGATCTGTTGCCTGACTCTTGCCTTCTGTCGTTACAGTAGTACTAACAGAGTTGATTTTTAAGGATTAGATTAGCTTTTCAGATTTGACAACGCAGCGATATCAGATTGAGAACCACTGAAAACCAGGGAGTACTAGATAGTCAGCTGTTTCATCCAAGTTTGGGAATCATTCGAATCCCAGTGGATGCGTACTGCCGATGATTCCCAAACTAGGATGAAACAGCAGCTGTCCAGTACTCCCTGGTTTTCACTGGTTCTCTAACTGATATCAATCCGTGATCAACCCATAAAACATAACTAATCCTTACAAACAAAACTATAGAAAGTTAATCTGATGCTCGCTAGTGACTTGCTACAGGTTGGAGTTTCCTGAGTTCTATTGAGAAGTCGTGACCAGTGAGGTCCAATTAGATGTCACGTGTGTGGATGGCTGTCCCACCAACGACAATGGTTGGGGTCGCGCTAAATCACAAATTCGTAGAAGTTAGAATTCACGAGCCATTGAATCGGGTCCCAGTGGCTGAATGGTATATGAGCTTGCCTTGTAACCAGAAGGTCCTGGGTTCGAATCCCAGTGGGTGCGTACTGCCGATGATTCCCAAACTAGGATGAAACAGCAGCTGTCCAGTACTCCCTGGTTTTAAATGGTTCTGTAACTGATATCAATACGTGATCAACTCGTAAAACATAACTAATCCTTACAAACCAAACTAAAGAAAATCATTGACAGTAATGTTTGGAATAAAGCTGTTATTATTATTATTACTCACCCACTACGAGGATTCGAACCCAGGACCTTCCGGTTACAAGGCAAGTTCGTATACCATTCAGTCACTGGGACTCAATCCAATCTCCGACGTATGAATTTCAACTTCTACCAATTCATGATTTTAATATTCTATGGTTTTCAATGGTTCTCTAACTGATATCTATCTGTGGTCAAACTCGAAGAGGTCTTTTTCAGTGAACAATATCTCAACGAACCATTTTTATAAATATTGAAAATCATGAACGCTTAAAGCTGAACTGAAACACGAGTACTTTATGTTTTATGAGTTTCACAATAATTGAATTGAATAAATTTATAAAACATTGTTTTAAAGGTTATTCATTATATTAGGAAATATTTCAAATTTGTTTGAAATTCAATGCTAGATTTTTGCGGTACAAATAAAATTGTAATTCATAGAGTTGGCATATGTTTACACCATGAATATTAATTCATTTTAGCATATTGAAAACAACGAGTTAATTTGCAAAAATGAATTTGAACTCAGTACAAATTCTTGATATTCCTGACATTCATTAATTAAATATTCCACAAATTATGAAATGATCTGCCGTCAAAAATGTACTACAACATTTTGCTTATCTCATTTTAAAGCGTTAAAAGTTGGCGTTTTCATTTCATTGGTTTGGAAATTGAAACTAAAAGTTTGAAGAAACGGAATGTTTTGCATATTAACAAAAAGAAAGCATATTATGTACTAGTCAACTCGAAAACATACAATGAAAATTTCCCCAAAACTTCCGAAAATTACATGATATTACTTAATAGCTCTTTAAGTAGTAGACAGTGAAACTACTAAATTATTAGTGAAACAGAAAATATACAAAGCAACAATTGAATGTCAAACACTGAATATTGTTTCGAATCATCCCCTTAGACCTCATAGAAAATATCTCTGAAATGCATTATGGTTAATCTACGAATTTGTGCATAATGTTGGTTTTTTTGAATATAAAATTTGGAGTTAAGCGATGACATAATAATGAAATAGTATTACATGTGTGTGTGTGTGTGTGTTGGCAGTGTAAAGGTGTTGCTCCTCCTTCAGACCAGCATATTTCATCATTTTAATCAACTGGAGGCAATGGACCTTTATTTGACCGACGACGTGAAACATCATGCTTATTACGGCTATTATTCTGTGAAGTTGATCCCTGTTGGTCAGAGTGTTCTCCAGTAAAATGTACTGAGAAGTTACTTGATTTTCGTTTAGGTGAGGTTACAACATTACTTGATTGTTCTTCTGGTTGGTTTATATCAGTACCAGCATGTTGTGCTTCTATGTTGTGAGTGTCACTTGCCAGATTTTTTTCTGCCATGGCCTTTAATTCTTCTGGTTTAAGTAATGAGGCCAGTCTGAAAGAACAGGAAATAGGATATTTATATGATTAGATAATTAAATTATGTTCTCTATTTATCATAATCAGGATAATTAAATTATTATTTATAAATATCTATAAGTAATTACAAGTAGTATTTTTAAGCAGTGGATTGAATCTGTTTATTTTCGGTTTTAAAATCAGTCAAAAACCACCAAATCAAAATGTACCACTCCAATCGTCTAACCGATGTCATTACAAAATCTCTGGATTGAGCCTAAGATTATTAATGCTAGGAACGTCAGGCAAACAAAATATTTGCATGACATTCACAGGTGTTCTCTTCTTTCGATCTAGTAGTAGAAAACCTGAATCTTGAGGTTTTTAATATTTAATTTCGTCATTAAAATTGTGTTGAAGTGGAACATAAGGCTTCAGAGGCACATCTCCATCTCACCCTGTTATATACAGTCCTTTTCAGCTGGTCCTGAGGTTGGCCACAAGCCCTAACTCCCTCGCCACACGATTTCCTTGATATAAACCTCAGATAGACATTCGAATAGCTATCTCATATTCGGGTTCCACTTGAAAGACTACCTAACTTATTCAATGGCCTCCTTAGTGTGTATCCGATCTATTTCTACTTTCTTTGGTATACTTCTTGGACGACAAACTCTTAGTTAGCTCGTTTTGAGAGTTCCTTGTCGCTAACCCTTCCTAACTATCTGATCTTCAGTATCTAGCGAAGGCAGCTGTTGATGAAAATCTGAAGTCTGTTTGATGAAATGCCTTTGGCTGACCTGATGTTAGCGTTGTAAAGTCAAATCTTGCTCTTTATGCCTACTGGAGTTGGTTTTCACACTGATTTCAGATTGATGAAGTTCCGTCTTGCCTTTCCCGTCCTGGCTGGCTTTGACATCCTCATCTATGCCGCCTGTACCTGAGACGATGTTGCCGTAGCCGTAAGTCAAGAAAGTGAGTTCCTTCGTATTTCGCCCGTGAATAATGATTTGTGCTTGTTGTTGTTGTTGGGTGGTGGGCATATTCACCCCACCCCCAACCTCGTCTTCTCTTAGTTCACTTTAAGTCCTGCTTTTGCCACCTGCCTGCTTTTTCTAGCAAATTGTTGGTTTTCATTTGTAGATCATCGAGTTTAGATGATATTAGACACGAGTAGTCCTCAAAGTTCAAATCTTCTAGAGTTTTTCTTATCAGTCTAACGTTTTTTCTTGTCTTCCCACTCCACCACATTTAGGAATATCATCGCTGATAGAAAGTAGACAGCGTTTCCTTTTTTTACTCCTCTAATGGCATGTGCAGTGCAATAAATCGTAGATCGGTTCCTTGGTTCCTTTATAAAATTCACATTCTATGGACCAAAGTAGCGTATTTTGAATGGTGATTCTCTGCGAAGTGAAAATTAGCATAGCCTCTGATCTGATTTCATAAGCCGAAATTCTAGGCACAATAAAGAAAACCTACTAACGGCTACTTGCATAAATCTAGTAAAAACTAGTCATATCATAATCATATATATATATATAGTTTATGTTCTTTAACCAGTCCCTGAGTGCGCGATTTTGGTTTACATTAAACAACGTGAAATAGAATTTTCAAATAGATATGTAGTATTCTGTTGCTAATACCGTATTGAACTGTGGGAATATGTGAGACTAATATTCCGTTGGCGCACATTGTCCGTATCACATCACCTCAATATTATTTAACAAGGATGGTAAGTTCTTGCACTGAGAGCTCCTGATAAGTACACTTTTGCTCATGTAATGTTAATATGACGTCTTGCTTCAAGAAGTTGTAAAAACACAAATGGTTTTGTGCTACTAATTTCACCCCCAACATTTAGGTTGTGTATAAATGACTGTGTTAACATGAATTCCACGGAAGTTATTGACTACAAAACGGCACTCAGAGTTTAAATAAAATAGATCAAAACGTTTCTGTTGCAGAAATTATGAGTAATTTCAGTGAGAGTTCACTTTGAGAAACAAAACAGAAAAAATTTTTTAGGGATGTGATAGAAACATTCAGTAGTTTTCCGATGGTATCACAATAAGTAAATAACCCCGAGATAAATGTTGAAGTCGGTGACGTTAACATCCGGAGCTGAGTCAAAGATGACAAAACTAATGAAATGACAGTTATCCAGAAATTTTAGTTATGCAAGTTGATAAATACTCATATTCAAGTAAATTCAGAAAAAAGACATTTTAAATCAATTAATTTTTCTTTACAAATTTTGACAGGCCAACGCGTAGAAACTGTGACTCATGTAGTAGTCCGATAAACCGTTGGAAGCCATGGTGTACCAGAGACGTTACTAATAGATCGAGGTGCTTGTTTTGAAAGTGAAGAATTTACTTCCCATATGCATCAGCTGAGGATTAAAAAATCCCAAATATATCATCCACAGATGAATGATGTGACAGAGAAATAACCGTACACTGAAGGAATGGCTGGCATTAGAAATAACTGTGTTTATAAGTTGTTAGAACAGAAAATCATTTTTTCAAATGTATTTTCGAAATATAATTGATACTACTAGAATGTAATGTAAGTAGTATATGTATATGTGAGGAAAATACCACCAAGTAGAATATACAGTATGGAGTAGAATTTTGAAAGGCAAATTAATCTATTCACCGTAAACAGTGGAAAAAACATGTTTAAATACAATACAATGAGTGGCTTGAAAACACTGATTGCATTTAACGATTTGAGGCAAAAAGAATTCTGCATTAGGTAAATGACATTATTTCTTATCAGTAATTTGTATTTTTCAATGAATTAAAGAGAAAATAATTTATCTTTTTATTCAATAAATACACAATAGTGACTGTACTTTTAACTCTTAGTTTGTTATAAAACAAATTTAATGGACATTAGCCACACCCTCTGACGTTACTCTCTTCTCTGTTATTACCTACTCTGTGATATTAGAATGAGTACAGAAAGCAGGCAATTAGATGAAAGCCTGTTATGAAGCCCATTCTTCAGCTGATAATGTGAAATTAATTTTGTTTAAATTGGAAAGGGTTAGAATTTCAGTAGGGATATCACTGTCTTCAATGACTGCAGATTCATCTTGCTGATGAATGCCAACAAGTGCCATACTTAAGTCAAAGGCTTCCTGCCTACAACCTCTGGCCATTTAACATCAGCTCTATCGTGAATAGTGTAAAGACTGTGATCACAATGAAAAGAACAACAAGGAAATGATTACACAGTAGCTAGCAGTGGTCTTTAGCTAAGCCGTGATGAGTTATGCATTGGAAAGTCTTTATGAGAGTTCTAAATGAGGTAGTGCAACGTAGATGTGGAAATCATTAAGAAAATTACTTACAAGCTTAAAGCTGATACGCTTAGAATTCATAACAAACTCAGAAAACTGAATCTGGTAATAATTGAAAAAATATTGTTAATAATAATATTGATTTAGAACAATACACTTAAGCGAACAATATTGTGCTTTCAATTAGATCTCATCAGGCTTAACTCGAATATATACGTATAAGTTTACAAATAAAAATTCAAACTTAAACCAATCATGGTGTTTTGTGTATAGGATAATACGATGGTGAATATAAATTGTGCAATTAGTCATAATAGTAATAATAATAATAATAATGGTCCTATCAATAATAAGGATGAAAAAGTGAGGCAATCTGTGATAACACGAATAATGAAAAAACAGCATGATTAAACAAGCAAACAAATGTTCAGGTGGAATTAGTCGATAAAGGCTAGTAAAAACAAATGAACCGATTAAGTAATGCTAAACTGATTGTAAGGGAAGTAAATGAGACACGCTTTAATGAAGATGTGATAAGATGAAGGGATGATAAGAAAGGGGTTGAAAATATAAACAAGGGGTGGTGTAGAAGGGGTTTAGAAAAAGCATATTCACAGGGCAATACACACACTTTCTTAGTTACGTGCCCATTAAATATAAAAGGAATGTTGTTAAACTTCTTGCGAGCAGAGCAAGAAAGATATATACGGATGACCTATTACAAAAGGAATTTGAATATATTCACGATTCCATGACGGAGATGGGCTATCCGAGTAGTCTCATAAAGTAAAACATGAAAACATCAGATAGAAAACCTGAGACTCTGATTGCACGTAAAAAGCCTCTATTTATTAAGTTACAATTTAATGGTGACTTATCTAGTGAGACTTTGTTACAAAGACTTTCCAGCATACCTATGTTTGTCATTCTCCAGTCGACGAATGATTGGGACGCAAACGAAGGATAAGCTAGATAGTTTTGCCACATCTATGTGTATTTATCAATTCAACTGCATCTGCGGTGACAGTTATGTTGGCCATACCACTAGTAGACAGCTTAGCCAACGTGTTGGTGAACATCTCCCATCATGGTTTAGCAAAGAACAGATGAAAACAATTCGTAGCTCAGTTTTATCACATTTAATTGATAGTGGTCATGTAGCGCAGAAAACGAGAGCCTTCAAAGTAATTCATCGTATCCCACCGAATCTTCCCAATAGACTTCGTATTCGTCTACTGCACACAGCTGAGGCAGGCGATAGGCATTCGAACTATTAAGCCTAAACTATTCATTCAAAAGAAGTTCGTTCAGCCATTATCCTTCCCTCGGCCTATTAAAAAATAACCAACTAATGACTTCTACACCACCCCTTGTTTATATTTTCAACTCCTTTCTTATCATCCCCTAATCTTATCACATCTTCATTAAAAGCGTGTCTCATTTACTTCCCTTACATTACTTAATCGGTTCATTTGTTTTTACTAGCCTTTATCGACTAATTCCACCTGAACATTTGTTTGCTTGTTTAATCATGCTGTTTTTTCATTATTCGTGTTATCACAGATTGCCTCACTTTTTCATCCTTATTATTAATAAGAGCATTATTATTACTATTATTAATATTATCATTTCCACTATTATGACTAATTGCACAATTTATATTCACCATCGTATTATCCTATAGACAAAACACCATGATTGGTTTATATTTGAATTTTATTTGTAAACTTATATGTATATATTCGAGTTAAGCCTGATGAGATCTAATTGAAAGCACAATATTGTTCGCTTAAATGTGTTGTTCTAAATTTTACTATGGGAATATTTAATATTATAATATTAATGTTTAAATTACATAGAATCGGTAGTATTCAAAGATCACATTTCAAAATCGTCTGTAAGTGATAACACACATCAATGTAACATGAATATCAGACAAAGGTAACATAGAATTTGTGTATTTATAGGCTCAACAGTAGGCCAAAGTAGCATTAGTGGCCGAACCTGCATCTTTTGCGAGTGGAGCTTCAGTTAACTTAGGCGAACTACAATCGCCTCTGATGTTTGCAGTGTTCGGTATCTAGAGGCCTCCTGGAAATTCATTCGATACCCAACAGAAGACAGACAAAGACTGTTCAATGCCACCTTTGTGCCGCGTGTTTGGACGAGATGATTTCACCTTAGAAGTGTTTATTTTCCCTGTATTACTGGTTGGTGTTCCTGAGCGGGAACAACTAAGTTTGTAGTGTGGAACATCAAATATAACTGGTTCCACAGGAGCAGTCAAACTGATAGATACCATAAGAGGGGGCTAGTCCAGATTCTGTATCTTTCAGTTGCAGAATCACAATTGGTTGTGTGGTAATTGTATACTACGGCTTTCCGGCATTAAGCGTTCTTTAGGTCGATTTTCTCAACTAGCTGGTTATTATTTCACCTGGATGCATATCACCTTTGAGCTATAGTCGTATGTATACAGTCTTCTTTTTAACAGATATAGGGGAATCCTTTTCTACATTCTTGACCGTATATTTAATGATGAACTTTTCAGGGTAGCTGTTTTCGATTAAAACTGTCATATAAAACCTTCAGTTCTTCTTCAATCGCCTGTTGTGGGGCCCATAGATTTATAAATTCTATGTGACTTCCCTTAGTTTATCTAATATTTAGTCAGTTTAGTGTGACATTAATGCATGTTGTCTTTCTCTTGCTGATATTTTTGAGGTGTAATCTAGTTATGCTATTGATTTGGTGTTTTATATTATGTTATTATTTCCTTTAACTCCTAGAGGAACATAGGGCTTCAGCTGCGTATCTCCATTGCCTTCTGTTTTCTGCTATAGTTTTCACTTGGCTCCAAGTCTGCCCAGATGCTTTCATCTCCTCTTCACATGACGTCCTCCAGGTCACCCTCGGATGACCAACTCGCCGCTTCCCATTCAGTCGGGTTCCACTCGAGCAATCGCTTGTGCAGTGATGTCACTTGGTGGTTTCCTCTGAATATGGCCAGTCACTCCATCTCCATTTCTTTCTGCTTATTTGTTGCACAATCGGTTCCTGGTTGGTTCGCTCACTGCCAGAGATCCCTGTTGCCGATCTTTTCTGGTCGGCCATCTGATCTTGAGTACTGAGCGAAGACAACTGTTAATGAAGGTTTGTAGTTTGTTTGAGATGCTCTTTATGACGCGCCAAGTCTCTGATCCGTATAGTAGCACTGACTGACTTCACATTGGAGTTGAAAATCCTGATCTTATTTCTGATGGTGAGTGCTGTTGACCTCCACACAGACTTGAGAGTAGTGAAAGCTTGTCTCTCTTTTCCGACGAACCCGCTTTGATATCCTCGTCAGTTCCTTCCGCCTGTAGTTGAAACGATGCTTCCCAGGTAGGTAGGTGAAGGAGGTTGTTTCTCTCAGGTTCCTCCCATTCATGCTGGCTGATTGTTGTCTGTTGTTGTTGTTGTTCCTGTTCCTGTTCGTTGGCCAGGAATCTTCATCACCTCTGTTTTTTCTATGTTTACTTGAAGTCCTATCTTCTCTGGATTGTTCTTCTGCCAACTTGTTGCTTTTCACTTGCATATCTTCCAGTTTGTGAGAAATTAAAATTGGTGTAATTTAAAACGTTAATATTGTTAATAACAATAATTCTTTATTTTCAAGTAATGAAAATCAATCTGATGCTCACTAACGACTGCCCTTATTCAGGCAGTTAACCTGGATTACTAGTGGGAAGCCGTGACCAGTAGGGTACAGCAGATTGAAGGTGAGGCAGTTAGTCATCGTAGAAGACACTGCGAAGTGGTCACTCTATGTCATGAATTTGCAGAAGTTAGAATTCATGAACTGCCTGGCCATTGGATTGGGTCCTAGTGGCTTAATGGTCTACGAACTAGTTCGCCTTGTAACCAGAGAGTCCTGGGTTCTAACCCTGGCGGTGGGTGCGTACTGCTGAAGGGTCCTCAACTGGGTTGACGAAACAGCTGTCCAGTACTCCCAGTTGGTTTTCAAATGGTTCTCTAACTGATGTCAGCGCATGATGAAACCTTCAGAACAATAATTCTTTAATTATTATTGTCACATAAGTGTAGAACCTGATGACGAATATATCGAAAAAAAACTTAGTCTTTTTTACCTTTTTGATAGGCAAATTTAACCAATTGTAATGAATTGTTAAATATACTTGATTGAAAGAATATTTCAACTTACCCATGATTATCACCTCTGTTAGAGAAAATAAAAAGTAAACATAAGAGGGATGAAGCAGTTTATTTATTATAAGTGAAATATATTAAAAATGAATATATTTAAAGTTAAACATAATTTACATATATATATGTCCAAACCAAATTCACTTTCAACAGTTTGAAAAATATTTGATATTTATTATAATAAAAGTTTTCTTGTATTTCTTAATGAATGAAAAACAAAACGATATTGTTACTTTTACTGACGTTTCTCTATTTAATGCTGCTAATAGCCTTATCAAAGTGGTACTATTAAACCAGAATTTACACAATCTCAGCTTATATATAACCACTTAATCATCGTCCCTGATTATGGGACATTTTTTGCGTTCTCAAGTTAGCCAATCGGTAAATGATACAAAACCAAGTGTAGATTGTTGGATTTGATAAGTGTGTAAAATTGTAAAAGCAGTGTGTATTTACATAATGAAATTGCTTATCACATCCGTGCTGATTTTGTCATTTCATGGAGGTTTGGGCGAGGGTGTTGTAACCAGGTCAAATTCTGTTTTAGTCCATCATTCCTGTTCATCAGACAATTTGGATACCACTTGATATGAAGTGCTTCTAATTGGTATGAGACATTCTTTGTGATTTCTGAAATGCTTTTTCCGGACTATTTCAATATTGTCAAAAGTCAATTTCGTGGCCTGATTCTATAGCGTGTAGACCACGTTTGACTGATGAATAGATGCTCTAGGGTGTTTATTTCTTCTGATTTTGATTTCTCTCTGACGATGTTTGTCCCATATACATCGCATTACATTCCAGGCATTTTATTTTATTTTATAGACACAATTAGATAGGGAATCTTTAGGGATTCGGTCTTTTATATGGACCAGGTTGTTTCGCAGTGTGTCTTATATTTTGATGAAAGCTCTGATGTCGACCTTGTTGACTACTCTTCTGATATTGTCTGACGTCTCCGTTCTATATGGAATGACAACTGTTGAGGCTCATGTTTTCGGAATACGTTTTCGGCCATATTTAATGTCAGTGTTGATTTCATTGATGAAGTTCTTTGGGTAGTTGTTTTGCTTGAGAGTCTCAGTAATGTTTGATATTTCTTCTTCTTCTTTTTCCTTCTCATCCGTTAATATCAGAGAGCGTGCTCGTCTAAGACGACTTGGAACAATTGATATCTTTGCGTTGATGGGGTGTGATGATCCGAAGTCTAACTGTTTTTTTTTGGAGTGGGTTTTCTTCCGGAGTATAGATACACTAAAATGTCCGTTAACTAGGCAGTTTAGAAATGGTAGTTCAACGACGTTTGATTCTGCTTCCAAAGTAAACTGGACTCTGAGATTAGACTGGAATGAATTGTGTAGATCTCGTTTCAGCACTACAAAAGTATCATCTACATATCTTAACCATATTTTAGGCGTAAGTATGCTTGAAAAGATGTTATCTTTGAATCTATGCATACTGAGGAACAATGATTAAGTTGTTATGTATAAGCTGAGGTTTAGTAAATTCTGGTTTAATAATACCACTTTGACAAAGCGATTAGCACCATTAAATGGCAAAACTTCAGTAAAAACAAAAACGGCAGTATCGTTTCGTTTTTTATTCATTGGGAAATATAAAAAGAACCTTTGTTATAATCAAACAAAATTTATTTAGAAATATTTTGGGGATTGCAATCTGAAAAGGTGGTAATACGAAGTGAGTTGACAGTGTTCTTAGCGTTCTCTTACCAAGGATCTTACTCAAGGATCTTGTATACGTTATTTGAGCACAAATCAAAAGCTTTTTGGTATAATTTCGCTACAGTGTTATTCGATAGCAGTTTCTTTCTGGTTTGGAAATTTTCATCACTATATACCCTGACTCCATAGGAGATGGAACTCAGGAGGCAAACTTGTATACTATTCAGCCACTTGGAAGGAATCCAACACAATCCGTGAATTCTAACTTTTGTCAGTTCGCAATTTTAGCGCGACCATCCACCCACCAGTCAATTTTGTCAGCAAGTATCAATTCCTTACAAATTAAAACTGGAAAATTAATCGAATCCTCGCTAGTGAATACTGGCTACAGGACAAAGTTGCCTGGAGCTGTGGTCATTAGCCTCCGTCACGTTGGGTGTGAGAACAAATACTAGCAGATGAGACTGACTGGAGTCGGCGCTGAGGCTCTCATCGCCTTTCAGTTAGTTTCGTGTTAATAAGAAGAATAGCGAGGAAATGTGACTGGAGATAAAACTATATTGTTGAACTGCGTGAACATTTCTAAACAAGCTAAAATATTGGAATGGATATAGTTTAGGAAAAAATTAGTCCCTTTTATGAATTTGGATAGTGTTAATAGAAGACGGAGACCAGCTGAAAAACGATGTGATGCATCTGTGAGAAACATTTCGAACACTCTGATCACACACACACACACTTATAAAGCGAATGTATATGAAAAATAAAGGCAAATTAAAGTACATAAACGGACAAAAAGGATTTAAGAATAATTAACGCAACGTTTGATTATCCCATCAGATGAATACTACTAAGGTAGGTGAAGAGTAATAATAATTTTTCAAGTTTTGGTTTTGTAGGGATTTTGTTTGATTGAATGCAGGACTTCATCATGGACTGAAAACAGTTGGAGAACCATTGGAAAACCAGCAAGGAGTACTGGCCAGCTGTTTCGTCAGCCTATTTTAGGACTCTTCATCAGTACGCACCCAGTGGGGTTCGAACTCAGGGCATTCTGATTAGAAGGCTAGCTCGTAGACCATTGAGTCACTGGGACCCAATCCAATGGCTCACTAGAGACTGGTCCTATTCAAGCAGTTAACCTGGAGTTCCCGTGGGAAGCCGTGACCAGTAGGGTACAGCAGGTTGAAGATGAGGCAGTAAGTCATTGAAAAAGACATTGCGAAGTGGTCATTCTATGTCATCAGTTGGGAGAAGTCAGAATTTATGTGCGTCGGTGGCATAGAGGTTAGGACACTCGCCGACTATGCACATGGTCCAGGGTTCGATCCCCAGCCACCGACGCACTCCATCACCTCGCTAAGCCAGAAATAACGTTGGTAAAGAGGAAATATTTGGCATGGAGCTAGCAACACCATCCTGTAAAATAAACACCACTGCTACAGAAAATTCAAGCCAATAACTTGAAGCCCTATGTCCCACTGGGGGGAACGTGAAGGAAAAAAAATTTTATGGGTTGGCCACTGGATTGGGTCCCAGTGGCCTAATGGTCTACGAACTAGCTCACCTTGTAACCATAGAGTCTAGGGTTCCTATTCCATGGTGTGAGTGTGTACTCATGGAGAGTCCCAAACTATGCTGACAAAAAAAAGCTGTCCAGTGCTCCCCGGTTGGTTTTCCAGTGGGTTTTTTTTTAAACTGATATCAACTCATGATGAAATCCTCCATCTAATAATAAATTGTTTTTGAACACTCATAAGGAGCGGCTTAAATTTATGAACAGCCATAGCCTCAGAGTATTTCAGTTAATGCCCTTGACCATTTTTATAGATGACCTTAAAATCCGTGTTAACACCAATCTAATGGTTTATATTGATCAGATGTTTAGCTGTAGTCGAAGTTGGTAGTCTTGTAACAACAGAAGACAAGGGCCAGGCAACAGATCGTTTTATTATGAAAATCAACACGTATTTATACTTATTTCACATACATCATTATAGACAAGCGCAGTCGTCTGATTGGTTGTTTATCAGAAGTTAGGCAGACAAACGCAGGCTTCTGATTGGTTGTTTCGGGATTCCTCGACAAATAGAGTTCTCTATCTGTGAATCATATTTTGCCACGTTAACTTTGCTGTGATTGGTTGTTGACTCAGCCTTGTTCATATTTTCTCACGGCCCATATTAACGTAGCTTAGTGTCAACCAATCGGCTAGCAGCCTGCTCTCACCACAGTCTGACACCTGCGTCCAATTAATAGTCATGGCTGTCGTCATATTTTTATCTTTACCCCCATTGGAACGATTAGAATCAGACATAAGACTTTCAAGTTCCAAGGTAAACTCGTTGATCATTCACCCCATCAGAGACGGAATTCAGTGAAGCATGGCTTCTAGCTTCTGTCAGTTGGCGAAATCTAGCTAACACCTCCACTAGGACTCAGTAAGTGTCTAGCACTCTCTAGTTTTGAATTATTCTCTAAGATAAGTCCATGAACAAAAACTTGAAATTATGTTTGTATCAGAAAATATAATACAGTGGAATGAATGCGATGAGACTTAATTAATTAAAACATGGAATTCAGTGCAGTTAATTTTGATATTGATATTTGCATGCATTGCAGAATTCATAGATAACAGCTGTATGAAAGAAAATCAATATTGGCTTGATCACCAGCTAACATCAGTTAGAGAATTGGGACTGGAACTTCCTCACTTCTTTACTTTATTTACACGAATATACCCCCTAGTTGATAACTTTATCGAAAAGAAAATTTTCTTTGCTGCAGCCGTCTTTTTAATTTTTCCTATGATCTAATATGCATGTTTTGAGAGTTAGAGAACCATTAGAAAATCAGAGAGTACTGGATAACCATCTCATCCCAGATTGTGACTCTTCAACTGTTCGTACCAGTCAGGTTTCAAAATAAAAGACTTTACGGTTAATTGGCGAGTTCATAGACTGTTTAGCCAATGAAACCCAACCCTTTGGCGTACGAATTCCAACTTCTGCCAATTTGTGATACATATCGCTCAGCTGTCAGCTGCTATCTCCTACCTGACTCGGTAGTATGCTTGTGAAATTTATAAATAAGGTGTAAAGGGATGAATTATAATCTATTGATTGGGGGGAGACAATGCGAATGAATTAAACCAATAGGATTAGCTAAGCGTTAGTTAAAGGGGTGTGATTTAACAATAGAGTGATATCAACTAGGTGAGAGAGTGTAAGAAGGAGAGAGAGAAGGTTGTTAAACTGTAAGGGGGTGTGAAAACACAAAAAGCAACCAATCACTTCCAAGGTCACTAGGGGAGATGATTAATAAACTCGTGGAGAAATCTAAAAGCTCACTTCAATTCAAATTGAAGTATGCGCTGAAGATGTCGCCTAGTCGGGCGTTGAAAGCTTCGCAAATTAACCATCCAGCTCAGAGAACACAACCACATCAAAATCATAGTAAATGCTTCTTCTATATTCAAGTGGAGTTCACTATTCACCAAAGTGGATAAGATGGTACTGATTACTGCTTCAATTACTACTTCCCCCTATGCCATATCAAACTTATTATTTATATTGTATTATATTCGTTGCTTGCGTTGTGTACGAAAAATAGGGCAGAACATGGCGAAGTTAAACTTTCGACAACACTAACTACCAATCAGCGAATTATCCAATGAGATTCACGAACGATGTCGAATTATCCAATGAGGTTCACGAATGCAGTTCAATGTTGTATAGCGCTTGATTCATTTCTAATGCGTGACCTTACAAGCCTACTGTTGCAATTCGAGGAGGTTAGTGTTTTCCAGTATTTCCTGGATTTGAGTTGCTCAGGAAAGGGCGAATTTGTTTGTGTGGTAGTATCATTACTTTAAAAAGCTATACCAAATCAACTGTTGGGTTTGTTCATCGTTGTGCTATATGTTTGAAGCCTACTAACACTGGAGAGGGTAAGCTGATAATTTTAATATTTCGTAGGAACTTACTTTCGCTAGGTCGCATCTCTCCCTAACCCAGATTTTGTATATCTGCAACTAATGGGTGTTGTAACAGGCTGTGAGAGCAGCAGCTGCCGAGATGGAGAATAGCCATGTCTCAACAGTTCAGTGGTACCAGTATTGCAGAGACATCGCATCATGGAAAATGGAGAAAATCACTTGTTTGCTGGGTGGGGAAGACGCTATCGTGCATGTCGATGAGACAGTGCTGGTAAAAAAGAAATACAACCGTGGTCGCCAGCGAGCGAACAATATTTGGGTAGTAGGTTTGTATGACACCTCCCTCCGGAAGGGATTCGTCGAAAGGAAAGCAGACGGAAAAGCATCGACAGTCCCATGCTAAACTGGGAGATGTTTCTCTCACATGTTCGAGAAAGATATCCCATGTAACTTTTTTATTCTCTATTTTGTGCTTTTTCCTATAAATATACATTTCCATTCATCATATGTGCCTCTTTAATGTAATTGGTTCGTTCAAGGTCGTCTGCTGATTGGTTGTTAGTGGTGTCTAAAGTTTAACTTTGCCCGGAACATTTCCATTACATTCGCTTCCCTTATATTATTTTCAACTGGTTCCACAACTACTTACAAGCCTTCATTTCCTATTCACAAAGTTTTCTCCCTGCCACTTCAGTCTCCCAACACACCACTTCTCATTCGGATTCCATTCGAGGTTCTATCCATCTCCATTCCCCTCGGCGTATTTGTTGGGAAATAGATTACTGGTTGAATCGTTAGCAAAGTTACTTGTTACTTATCTGAGCTTTGATATTTCATTGACATCGGAATTATTATTTTTTTTAAAGGGTCTGGTTGCTAGTCCCACGCTAAACTTTCTTTTCTTTCCAAGCTGAGGACGAGCTAGTAAACTGGACAACTTTCCCAGGATGAGTAAGTTAGCATTCCTATTCTTGATTCACATGGTTTCAAGTAGGGATAAAAGACATAATTATCTACGTCTAGACAAATTAATCGAAGTAGTGTTGGCTGTCCTCACACAGTGGATAAGATAGAATTATTTATTGGTCTGCTTACTCCCCTTTTTGGAGCCAACATATTAAATGTTTACCAGCTGTTATTGAAAGGTATCTTTTATTATTATTAGGCTATAGGATTTGTGGGGATTTGGATTTACTTCACCTGTTAGATTTCATCACCAACCAACATTAGTATTAGAGATCATAAAAAGCCGAAGAAAACTGGATAGCTGTTTCACTCTAGTTTTGAACTTTTTATCAGTGTGCATCCACAACGCCAACAGGGATCGATCATGGTGTGGTGAGAGTTGGCTGCTAGCCAAGCTGGTAGACAGTAATTTACGTCAATGTTTACCTCCTCAATATTGGTCGTGAAAAAAAATAAGAACAAAGACTGATTCAACAACCAACCACAGCAGACTTCCTTTGCGTAGGTGGATACAGTTAGCATATAGGTAATCTGACATTCAAGAAACAGTCACAAAGAGATGCAAGGTCAACTTTCTGTGCGAAACAACCAATCAGAAGACTTTGTTTACCTGCTAACAATAATCTATAATAACGTACATGAAAATCTATAAATATGTGTTTATATCCTTCATAAACGATCTGTTGTTGCCTGGCCCTTGTCTTCTATTGTTAAAATGGGACCTTCAGGTTACGAAACCAAGCAAATTGATCAATCAATTCACTGACCTGTGAATTCTGATTCTTTCATTTCGTGATACAGCGCTATCTTTACCAATGCTTTCTACGAGCATCCGCTTCATCTAGTGGGATCGCTGGTGCTCACTGCTAAAGAGTCGCAAAATAGAACTAAACAGCTGTCCAATTCTCCCTGGTTTTAAATGATCTCTCTAACTGATGTTGGTCAGTGATGAAATCTAACAAATAGCATTTTCCAATTAGTTTTCTATGTTAGGCAATAAAAATAAATACGGAAATTTCGGCTCTTTCATTATGAAGTGGAATTAAAAGATCAAAATTTTTTACTTACTTAATTACACCTACTTACACTTCAATCATTTTATGATAACTTAAGGTTAGGAGTACTAAATTAATAGTTACTACAGAATGAACATTTACGTCACAATGTAATTTCCATAGAAAAAAGCACTTCGTCCTTGTTTGGGACTCTTCAGTGTTAAACATTAAGTGTGGATGAAAACTAGGATTTTCTAATTCTGTTAGAAGCTAGAATTCATGAGCCACTGGATTCAAGCCCAAATGGTGGAATGGCCCAGGAGCTTGGACTCATAATGTGACGGTCCTGGGTCCGTCCCCCTCCCCATCTGTAGGGTAGTGACTGCGCACTGATTAACAGTCCCAAACTGGAACGAAACAGTACTCCGTGGTCCTCTAAATGAGATCAGTCCCTGATCAGACTTGAAACAAATTAAATCGCTACAAACTAAGTCTTGGAAATAAAAAGGTGAACGGAATGAAGAGGTGGAGGAAATATTTCTTCGAGACGAAATGAGTTAATTAACAGATAAGGTAGAACATTCCAAAACAGATCAAAATATATTTATAAAAATAAAACTAAATTGCGTAGTCCAAATGTGATTATAGAGCGGGAAAATAAATATGTGTGGATAATGGCTGCTTTACCACAGATAATGCTAGAAGTTGCGTTTTGAGAAACTGTGTGTTAGTGTTTTAGCTTTACCGACATGTTTACTTGAAAAAAGTCGCTTATGAACAGAGTGAACTCAAAACTTTCCACTATACCAAAATACCGATGCTGTAATAACGTCTTTGACTAAAACACTAGATGACACAGGTTCTAATCTCAGACGGGAAATGAGTTCCTTCGGGGCTGCAAATATGCCTTGGTGACAAGCTCCAACAAGCTTGACACCTAGGCAAAACAGGACTTCCTATCGATTACCTCCAATCATCTAATACTTTGCTGTAACAATATGAATACCAAATCTCACCGGAAAACTCCTGTCACATTACATATTCTAATTTTGGTGATGCTAAAATCATTTAAAATCCTGCAGGCTCTCCCAGTGGATAGTTCTTTTAAGAGGTCAGAGTGAGAAAAAAAACACGTTCCTCTGATACTTTAGTTTCACCCTATCGAAAGTTTATTCATTTTAGGGGGAAATATAAAAAAGTGGCATACTTACTCTGTTAATGGAGGTGGATCAGGTAGCGGTTTATTAAAGTTATCCTTCCCAATTAACCAAAATGAATCAACTAAACCTTTGCCTTTCAATTCAACTTTACCACGTAACTGTAAATGATAACCGCCCAAAATATCCAGAATAGATTTTGTTGTTGGACTGACATGGATACGGAAAGCTTAAAATTGTAGAAAAAAGAACGAATGAATACACAAGTATATCAGTTGAAATTTTGAAAAAAAAGCATAAACAATCGAATATGGCTGCTCTAGTACGTTGGTAGCACAACGGTAGAATGCTCACCGGCCTCGCCTCATGTGGTGTGGAGTTCCCTTACCTCGTTAGGCCATTAATAAGTCCGATAAAGATGGGAGGTTGGGCGTGAGACTAGCAACCCCAACACGCAAAAATAAACACCACAGCTATCGAAACTTCAAGTGTCTAGCTTGAAGCCGTATGTTCCACTGGGAACGCAAAGGGATAAAATAATAAATAATAGTCATCGTTACTTAATGTTTCTTTAATAAGATTATGGATCAATGATTCTAGATGTCTTGTTGATATGAGTTATATGGTAGACATCATGAAATCCTTTAAAATTATCAACATACAGTATGATTCAGTTCTTCCCAAGTTTTCCAAAGCCACTTTCGTCAGTCTGTGTGTTTAGAAAGAAGCAGTCATCAGTCTTACCTTGCATTGCCTTGAAATCTGATGTCTTTAGACCATCCATTTCATTTGATTACGTAATCTCTCACTTTAAACTCTTCCTCTTTGTCATAGTGTAACTTTGCTTATCTTTTGTTTCGATGACATGGGTCGAACTAGTCACATTGCTGCTTAACCTTCTTTTCTACAATTGGGTGTTTACTTTCTTATCTTTTTCTCTACTATACTTTTGGATAATTCCCTTAGGGTATCCATTTTCTCTGCGGAATTTCTCGACAGAACCTAACTCTTCTTCGATCTTGTTCGGTGAACAAAGTCCTCACCAATCCACGCTTATAGCTTATGGGACAAAAGCTGTGTATAGTGAAGATATTGCCCAGCCCAGGTTTCTTTTCTATAGATGAACTTTTCGATCACAGCTTCGTTTTTCTTTCTTTCTGCATTTAGATCCAGGAAATTGAACTCATTATTGTGTTCATATTCTATGGTGAATCCGATGTTTGGATGGATCTCATTTAGGCAATCATATAGTGCCGATGCGTGATCCATATCGTTGCAAACAACAAATGTGTCATCAACATATCGACGATAGTAGGTTTTTCCATTGATAGCAGAACTCAGTTGTGTTTTTTCAAGGTCACCCATGAAGATATCAGCCAGAATAGGTCCCAGAGGCGAACCCATAGCGACCCCATCAATTTGTTCGAAAAGTTGGTTGTTAAATTTGAATTGCATATTTATTTTTTTGTGCAAAGCAGCAGTAGTCGCTTCGTCTCTGTTTCCGGCAGTGGTAGTAGATCCATTTGTTTACAAATGATACCAATTTTGTTCATCAGTGGTATGTGTGTAGACAAGGAGGTCATGTCATACCACACCATGAGTTTGTCTGATATATCAGTATTGTCTACTTCCTTGGAAAATTGATAGCTATCCTTCAGGCTATGGGTTGCAATTTTAATTCAAATCTTGATGTGGTTTTGTCCTCTGAGCTGGATGGTTAGTTTGCGAAGCTTTCATCGCCCTACTGGGTGACATCTTCAGCGCATACTTCAATTTGAAGTGAGCTTTTAGGTTTCTCCACGAGTTTATTAATCATTCCTCCTGGTGACCTTGGACGTGATTGGTTGTTTATGTGTGTTTTCACACCTTCTAGGTTACTTGTGTTGGAACTGATTGTTTCTGTGACTTGAACTTTGACCCTTTGTGTGTGAAGTTTCTTTCTTGTTGGTTGATAAATTTTGTCTATCTCTGTGTGTCTATTGATTGATGATTCACTGGAATGCCAAGCTTCTAAAAATTCTCTAGCATTCTTGTTATTTCTTTGTCTAATATTTGAACGTTGTCCCAGTCGAATTGATGTCCGTGGTTGTCTGTGTGTAGTGAAATGAGGGAGTGGATATCATGTCTTTTGACGGCTAGCTTATGTTCTTGGATACGAAGACGAAGAGGACGTCCACTTTGGCCAATGTAGTGTTTTTCACAGTTGTTACAGTTTATTTTGTAGATGATGTTGGTTTTGTCTTCTTTTGCTGTTGAGTCTTTTGGTTGACATAGAATTGAGTGCAGCGACTTTGTTGGTTTGTGTACGACGTCAATTCCTAAAGGTTTGGAGAGTCTTGTAATGATTTCTGAGATATTCTTTTATATATGGTAAGGCGATTTTCTTTGTGTTTTCCTTGGTGGCTTTTGGTTTGATAGGTTGGCTTGGGGGTATATGTCTTTTGATGAAATTCCGTGGATATCCATTCTTTTGGAAGACGTCCATGAGATACTTTTCTTCAATTTTTCTTAAGGTGGGAGTGCTGCAGTGAGTCCTTGCTCTCTTGAATAGTGTTTCTTTTGATCAAAAGAAACGAATTAGATAAAACTCACAACTTAATAAACAACGTCTTCAACGACATCAAATTCACAAGAGAAGAGGAATCCGAGAACAAAATACCATTTTTGAACGTCTTAATCAGGCGAACAACTACAGGAGAATTAGAAACTCAAGTTTATAGGAAATCAACTCACATAGACCAAATCCTGAATTACAACAGGCCATACATTAACGACAAGCTACCACCTTTTGACTTCAGTTCATTGTATGTTTCGCTGTTGATTAGCTTCTTCATTAGAAGTTCTTTGAAACATTTATTTACTTTATTTTCAAATGGCGTTGTGGCATCCTTTTTATTGTGTACTTGGAATCTTTTTTTGCGTCGTTCACAATTGTCACCATTTTATGTATATAATCAGCTTTGTTCATTATAACAATACTAGAGCCTTTATCAAGTCTAAATATGATGATTTCATCGTCATGCTCTTCGGTTAGCATCTTCTGCTTCCCCATTGTTGATATGTGCTTTTGGTTGCTACGTGAACCTACAGGCTAACACTGTTTTGTTAATTTTTTCTGTTTTCTGTCTTAACCCTTCCCCCTCTTTTCTACTTTGAAAGTGTATAAATTGATGATGAAAACTTAAACTAAAAACATTGTAATGCCCACATTTTGGATGCGTCAGTTTTATAGTATTTCTTCTCTACTACCACTTACACATTGAAGTATGTTATTATCGTCTATATAACCATTGTCATTTCAGGTAGTGGTGGACAGCTGATGAGAACCTGTGAAATAGAACGACGATATCATTTTATACTGAGAATTTCGTCTTCCTTTCTTTATCCAAATTCATATTTTTGTTTCAGGATTTCATTATGAGCTGATATTAGTTAGAGAACTATTGGAAAGCCTGGGAGTACTGGATAGCTGTTTCGTCCTAGTTTGGGACTCTTCAGCATATCTTCATATTTTTGTTTAAACTTGAACCTTCACCGTTTAATTTGCATTAGTGTAATTTATAAGCAGTATTTATTAGTTTTGGAGTCTGCTGGAGTCGGTGGTACAGCGGTTAGGACGTTCGCCGACCATGCACATGGTCCGGGGTTCGATCCCCGACCGACGCACTCCTTTGTAACAACAGAAGACAAGGGCCAGGCAACAACAGATCGTTTATTAAGGAAATAAACACATATTTATAGATTTTCATGTACATTATCATAGATTATTGTTAGCAGGTAAACAAAGTCTTCTGATTGATTTTTTCTCACAGAAAGTTGATCTTGCATCTCTTTGTGACTGTTTCTTGATGTCAGATCATCTATATGTTAACTGTATCTGTCTACGAAAAGTCTGCTCTGATTGGTTGTTGAGTCAGTCTTGTTCATATTTTCTCACGAACAATATTTGCGTCACAAACATTGACGTAAATAATTGTCTACCAGTTTGGCTAGCAGCCTGCTCTCACCATACCTTTGCCTCGCTAAGCCAGAAATAATGCTGGTAAAGTGGAAAGGTTGAGCATGTGGCTTGCAACCCCATCCTGTAAAATAAACACTGCTACAGAAACTTCAAGCCACTGGCTTGAAGCCTTATGTTCCACTGAGGGACGTGAAGGAAAGAAACAACTAATTGTTTGTTATTTATCACCTTTCTAGTGAAATACGTTGGTAGATGTGTACGGTGTCAATAACTTGGGCGCTACCTATTTTGTCCCGATACTGATACTGATTATTATATATAAACACATCACTGAAGAGGTTCATTCCGCAACAACCCAAAGACTACGCGCATGAAATGAGTTACTACTAATCAAAGTACCTATTATAGTTAAGCAGAAGGTCAGTCACGAGTCCGAGTGGCTCAATGGTGACGTCTGTAACTGAGGCACTAGCTGACATGGGTTCGAATCTCACAGTGGACATAACTTCCTTCAAGACTGAAGATACGCCTTACTGACTAGTGATTGCCAACAAGCTTCCAGTCGTTCGAAGCGCACCCTGTCCAAGAGCATTCAACAACACTATCCAACATGGTTGCAAAAAGGCAATAGTGGTGCATTAAGGAGTGCGATAATTGAACACCTGGTTAGCACAATGATCATTTCATCTCAACAAACGCCTCCTGCTTCAAAGTAATCTACAGAGTCAGGAATAACCTACCACAGGCAATATGGTTTCGTCTTCTTTGTACCGCTGAAGCTATGGTCATTCACATAGAAAAATCGGAGGTGTGCATACAAAAGAGAATCACTCAACCACTTCTACCGTCATGGTAACAACTTTGTTTATTTTGATGATTTAATTTTGTTTGTTTGCCTGTTTCTTTAATTGCTTATAATTCTTGTATTCATTTACAACTCATACTTAATTTCTACTTTGTTCTTATGTGCATCCTGAGTCAAACTCACTCATCAAACTATTCATACTATTACATAACTTCTTTTAACAACTGTTTGTGACAACTCATCATCTTTGTTACTACCCTAATTTCATTAACACCTAATTTTCTTGACTGATTTTGTATTACGTAACTTCAATTACCAACTTTCACTTGTTTAGTTAAAATAACCATATCCAATTGTATTTTTGTTTGACAAAATTAATGTACATATGCATACAAAATAACACATCTTTATTTGCGACTGTACATCTAAGAAAATGAATTCGCCGAAAAGAGACTCTTTGTTGATCTACGTGTTTTGTTTTCATTAATGCCTAGATGGGGATTATCCATGAATCAAAATGACTTTGTCAAGATCACTCCAGTACTCCATACAGTTAGGAAATTATCGATTCTGATATTTTTTAAATTTGTCCGACTTGTCCGATGTGGCAATCAGATTTGAATCCAGTCATAGAAATGAAACTGAAACTCATAGTCGTTGAAACTCTGCCATCTGGGAGAGAATGATACTACTGATAACAGTCACACTTCTAACTCTGGTTAAACAAACAATTATGGTAATTTTATTCCCACAAACTCGCATTTTCGTCATGCATTTCCAACAGTGTCGTTGGAATTTTTCGCAACCAGTAGTGTGTGATTTCTCTCTCTCTAACTGTTGCCACAGTTAAATGTTATTCACAGTCTATAACAGTGTTGGTTGGTTTTAGTCATACGAGTATTACACAACCGACACCACTATTGTTAATTAATCAATGAATTGAAGCTTCCAGTCGTCTCATCGGAAGCCTATACGTGTATCTGTCGGATATAAGTGGTTTGGAACCATGTGTATTAAAATGTTTGCAATTTGTACATTTCATTCTAGCAAAGAGGCTTTTAACCTCACTTTCTCACTTCATAGTGACTGAATCCGATGGAGTCTGTGGGATTACCTCTGTCAGATGTAAGTACCGAAGCGATGCTTTCCCGCTTACATTGAATTTTAAAGTGTGCTCTTATTGTTATGATAGAGTATTACTAGACTACTGGGTATTGTTAACATGACTAGAATGCACCTTCAAATATGTCAGTATAACTAACTGATCACTTGACAATATTCCCCCACACTCATATTCACAAGACCTCAGAAATTCAACACAATTAAATAAATAAATCTGATTGGTTGTAGGATATCGCAATTTCTTAGAAAATTAGTCCATAAATGAACGAATCAAAAATACTCCAGTCAAGTTATTATATCAGTGAGTTAACTCGTTTCTTACTGTCGTTAAAAATTACTAAATGTATATTATCATTAATCAGAAAAATTTTATACACATACCAGATCCAGTTGATTCCATTCTTGATGCAGTATTCACTGTATCTCCGAATAAACAGTAACGTGGCATGGTCAGGCCAACTACTCCAGCGACGCATGAACCTAAAGTGAATTAGAAGTTAACAGAAAAGACAGTTATTTTTGTCTAAAGTCAGATATCAGTGATCTAAGCGTTTATTTATAAAATACTACAGGAATAAGTTTCTCGGTTAGGATGCTCGCCGACCATGCATATGGTCCGGGGTTCGATCCCCGGCCGGCGCACTCCTTCACCTCACTGACCCAGAAATGATGCTGGTAAAGAGGAAAGGTTGGGCATGAGGTTAGCAACCCCATCCTGTAAAAATTAAACACTACTACAGAAACTTCAAGCCACTAGCTTGGAGCCCTATGTTCCACTGGGAACGTGAAGGAAAAATTATTTTATTTTATATTTAAGTTTCTCAAGTATAGGTGTTAAGGCGTACAAAAAGACTGAGAGAAAAAGTGTTCCTATAGTTCAAGCTTTCTTTAAGTTCTCTGTCAAACACTGAATAATGGCTTAATATAGAAGAGATTGACTGATTGTTTACGAGTCCACTAGAGAGACTCCACTGGCATGTTCATTTTTCTATAATTTACATGAAATTTAGTAAATTCATAGCAGAATAACGAGGTGGTAAAAGTCATGTAATCTGCACGACAGAAGAATCAGTCAGTCAGTCAGTCAGTTAACCAACTCAACTCTTTTCAATAATACGGATAAATATGAACATTTCTGACTAGAACATTTACCAACTTGAGTCAAGGCTGTTGACTCATATAGGTTTTGAGCTTTGAAGGTTCCGTGGTAACAGTGTTATTCTTTCTCACAAGGTGGAGTTGTTAGCCTGCTTCTTCTTCTTCTTCTTCTCTCCTTACCGATCTTACGACAGTCTAAGCGAAGTTTAGGAATTCCTCAGCCGGGGATCGTACCACACACCACCTTCATGGTTGGCAAATGTTCCAGTGCGCACCAATCACCCCACCAGTTATTGAACCTAGGACCCTCAGGTTACAAGGCGATCTTGTAATATACTGAGTCATTGTGAAGAAAAACGGGACACTCCGCGAGGTAATGCTATACTCGGCCGACCTGTAAAAGAGGCTGAGCAAGCTCACCTCACTCGTACGTTAGTGAAAAAATCAGGTAATTTTGGCTGGTTTCAGTTTAGAGGCTGTTGCAGAGATTACACTGTGAAGGAAAGATATTACACATAACCTTTGGTCACGCAGCCAAGAAGTGACCCTCAAAAGAATCCTCGAAATGTTATGTGAATTTAATACTAGCTGACATTATTCTGACGGAACTTCTAGTCAGTCAAATGTCACCTCATATTTGATTGTAGTGTAAAGGTGCCATTACCTAAACTCCAGGAAGACCCCACCTATAAACTAAACATTAAGAACTATCATGACGAATTCTGTGTAAAACTGCGCAACAGTATTATTTTATTAAAAGACTGATCTAGTTGGTAGAGTTTGTACCATCAAGCAAAGAAGCTTTTCTCGAAATGTTAATCAAAAATTGATTTTTTCAGATTTTTTCCCACTATGGTGCTAATAAGACAAGACACACACTAGTGATGATATTTCTGATGGTAGTAGACTGAATTATGCAGCAGGAGCGGAAAGACAGGAAGACGCTGGACGTGCGAGAAGACTTTAGAAGATTTAAATTTCGCTGACAATTTGTGTCTGATGTCGTACAAACTCAAAGATCCACAGGCGAAAACCAACAATTCTGCATGGGAAGTAGCGAAGACAGGATTTTGAGTGAACATAGAGAAGATAGAGGTGATGGTGACAACCAACTAACAACAAGTATCAATAACTGGCAACCGGAGAGAACTGAAGGTAGTCACGTCTTTCACTTATCTAGAAAGCATAGTCTCACCTACAGGCAAATGGCTAGGATGATGTTATCAAAATCTAGAATCGGAAAGTAAAACAGACTTTCAATGCCCTGAAATCAGTGTAGAAATTCACTGAACTAAGCATAAACGATAAGATTCAGATTTTCAACGCCTGTCTCAGGGCAAAGGAATCCAAGATGTACATTTCATTCACTACTACCATCTACCATCAAATTACTTTTGGTTAATCCTCAGACATCGTCGAAGCATCAGTACAAGGAACCAACATGCCCGCGGAGGCGGAACCTTTCAGTCCAATCAACCAATGGGAAAATCGAAATTGAATTGAAAGTCAAAAATAAGTGACATCCGATGTGCAAGAGGTAGCTCTTGTGGCCCAGTTGATTCTATTGGACAACGGTGTGTGTGTGGCATTAGGTTCGAGTCTCTGTGGGAATACTATTACTTACTGGGGAATACAGGTCCATCCACTGGCTTACGAGTTCCAAATAGGACAAAATAGGGATCCTGGATCCCATTGCTAGTCACTATTCACCAAATCATCTAATACTCTTAGTTTAAAACCGATTCTTCTGATGCTGAAGTTTAATAATACTGTAAACAACTTCAAAGAGATACTTTACCAGGATTAATATCAAAAAGTGGATATTCTTACCTGAATGTAATCCAATACGTAGTCTAAGCGGTACATCAGGCATATGGCGGATAACAAATGTTCCACATTGGCTTAATAAATCTAGCGCCATAGTTGCTATTTCACCTGCATGTAATCGACCATTACGTACAGGCAAGCCGGAAACCACCATATATGCATCACCGATAGTTTCAACCTTTAGGGTTTTTTAAAAAAAGGATATCGGTTTTGTTCATAAAGCCAGTGTAATGAATAAAAACAACAACACTGTCATATAGAGAAGTAACAAATTTTTTAAATAAGATAAAGGAGACAGGATTAAGGAGGTTATGTGTAGAAATATGGTCACACAAAATGTCAATTGAATGAAGAGTTCACAACGAGAGAATATGTACTTTTATTTTCAATTCTCATACCATTAGGGTAATTAATCAGTTCAAATATTTCTTTGAATATATATACCTACAGAACTAACTGTCTTTTGACTGGATCCAATAAGACTTTTTCTATGTACTTCTATGTACTAGTGATGTAAAGTTCGTACATGAAGGTGATTGTTTCCGTCAGATTAACGGTGTTGTTATCGGAAGCCCTTTGGGGACACTTTTAGTGATATTGAGTTAATCAGGAGATTTAATTGAATGTAGTCATAAGTGATAATCTTTGTTCTGTCACTTCAATTTTAAATCGAATGAATGAAGTTCAGAATAGCATATCATTTATGTCTGTAGAAGAAGAAGAAGATGATTGTTTATCTCTCCTAGATATATTGTCTACTCAGTAGATAACCTGATGGATCAATAAAACGATCTATTTATAGACAACCTACCTGAACAAGAAAATATCTTAATTACCACACAACTTCTCTTGTGTTCGATACAAAAGAGTCTTAGCCCAGAAGGTACACCTGACGACGAGGGCAAAAAAAAACTAACAGGAACTCTAATTGCTAACAATTATCCAGAGAAGTTTATAAGGGGATACGAGATACTCAGGATTTCAAGGTTCACTCTCCACCTGGTTGCTAAAAAGGATGTATATGTTATCAAGCTACCTTGCATAGGTGATCATAACAGTGTGGTAACTACACAAACATTGGATGTTGTGGTTAAAAAGATTTTCTGTGCAGCTGAGATTTGAATAATTGAGAATGTGAAGTCTTTACATCCATCTAAGACTATTAGAGCAAACTAGAAGATGATATCACAACCCACAGTAGTCACCAATTTAAATTTACATATGGTCACACATACAGGCAGTATAAGGAGAACTTACCGATCCTTACAATTAAGGGTTTAAAGCCTTCCCCTTAAATGATTTCCCCTGAACCCATTAAAGGTGAAAACAGGTGACCTAGCTCATCTACTCAACTAGAATGCGCATTTTCTACATGTTCGTTGCATTGTTTATGTTCTGGGTTGCATGTAAATACCGAAATAACTCTATGTGTCCAAACCAAGTTCACTTTTAACAGTTTGAAGAAATTTGGGCATTAGGTATATGATATTCATTATAATAAAGGTTTTTTTGTATTTCCCAATGAATGAAAAACAAAACGATATTATTGCTCTTACTGACGTTTCGCTATTCAATCCTGCTAACAGCTTTATCAAAGTCTGTCTGTCTGTTTTCGACATAGAACTTTGCACAAATGTGCGGAAGTTCAAGTCGTCACACTCCGTGTAGCACGCGAAGCAAGAGAAGAAAGTACAAGAAATGCATAATGGAGACAGTAAACAGAGATGTGAGACAAAGGAGGAGTAATAACGAAGAACAAAACAGTTTCATTGGAGATCATAAGTCACAGGGAGTGGATGCATCTGCGCCACTGAGAACGATTTTGAGCCATGTCACCAATTGTTTCCAACCATAGATTTTTACCGTCCCGAAGACCCCAGCCTGGAAGTTTACACCTTCCTACGTGGCTTAGACCAACTGTTGTGGATTTCATTGACTGGTGCCAAGTTTTTGTTTGACCGCCGCTAGCTTTTTTCCAGCCTGACCCTATATCCGCTAACATTGCTCGTCGAGGGCAAAGTGGTATTATTAAACCAGAATTTACAAAATCTCAGCATATATATATATATATATATATATATATATATATATATAACAAAGAGTTAAGGGTGAGAAAATAGACTTAGGTCAAGTTAAAGGGACATATTGAAAGTCAAAATAACAATGAAGATCACAAAACCAAATATCAAAGGTAATAGTACATCTGTTATGATATCAAAACAAAGCTTACTAACTTGATCATCGTCCGTTAGTCTGGGGCCATTTTTAGTTGGTTTAGTGATCTTCACTGTTATTTTGACTTTCAATATGTCCCTTTAACTTGACCTAAGTCTATTTTCTCACCCTTAACTCTTTGTTATATATATGCTGAGATTTTGTAAATTCTGGTGTAATAATACCACTTTGATAAAGCTGTTAGCAGGATTGGATAGCGAAACGTCAGTAAGAGCAATAATATCGTTTTGTTTTTCATTCATTGGGAAATACAAAAAAAACCTTTGTTATACCGAAATAACTCCGTTAATCTGTTAAAAAAGGGGTTTTTATCAAAAGCTTTGATCATCTAGCCTACCTTATATACGTCATAATAATCAATAGTTGCATCAAACATTGTATAAAGATCATTTAACAGGTCAACAACTTGAAAAGGTGTCGACAATGCAGAGATTGTCGTGAAGCCAACAATATCACTGAAGTAGATTGTCACTTCATCGAAGGCCTCTGGACAAACAGCTTTTCCAGACATCAGTGTTTCGGCGACAACTCTGGGTTAAAATATGTTAAAAACAACAAATGGGGGTACACAATTATTCACGAAAATATTTAAAACTATATATGTACATCATATCGAGATAGTAACAGTCAAATTATTATTAGCATTGTTATTGTCATTATTATTTTTTATTCCTTTGCATTCCTATTGAAACACATGAAGGCTTCAAGCTTGGACTCTGAAGTCTCAGCAGCTGTGGCGAGTGAGGGTACTAGCCTAATGCCCAACCTACCCTCTTTGCCGGGGCTACTGCTGGCTAAAAGAGGTTTAATAGTGGGTCCATCATAGATTGAAACCCGCACCGTGTTTGTGGATGGTGAGTATTCTACCAGTGAACCACCGAAGCACACTGTAACAGGGTTCAACTAATTAAGTTGTTTATTAGGTAGTTGGAGGCAATCGGCAGGAAGCATTGGACCTAGGTTTTGTGCTAGTTGCATACAGACAACTACGGACATCAATTCGACTGGGACAACGTTCAAACACCAAGAATGCTTTAGAATATTTAGAAGCCTGGTATTCCAGTGAATCATCAATCATAGAAATATCGAGATAAACAAAATTTACCAACTGATAAGAAGGAGACCTTACATAACAGGATAAAAGTTCAAGTCAAGAAGACAATCAGTACCAACACACGTACCCTAGTAGGTGTGAAAACACAAAAACAACCAATCACTTTCAAGGTTACCGGGAGAGATGACGAATAAACTCGTGGAGAAATCTAAAAGCTCACTTCACATTGAAATATGCTTTGAAGATGTTACCTAGTAGGGGAATGAAGCCTTCGCAAAAAAGCCATCCACCAGCTTAGAGATCACAAGTGAATGAAAATATTTTTACATAATCTCTCAACTTGATTACGGTTAAATGAAATTCTCAATCTCCAAATTAATTTACAAGTCAGACATTCCAAGGAGGTGAAATTAAACCATAAATACATATAACTTAATACCCCTGACTGATCACCCGTGGTGTTTGCTAACCAGCAGGATACGAGTGGTTTAACCACTGGACGGCTGTTTCACTCTTTGCAGGCCGAACTCATCAGAGATGTGCTAGGTCTAATTCAGTTCAAACAGCTGATTTCCGGTTAGCTGCTTGGGTAACACCCTACCCTACGTCAAGCTGCTAATTTGCAATTTACACAGTTCAAGGTGAAAGATCATCACAGTTTCCGCTAGAGGCCGAGATTATCTAGATCACAATATACCACCTGGTTGGTACCAGAAATGGTGGTCAGGAAAGTAAACATATTTGCATAAAATTTTCTACCACTGATTGCCTGATATGAGTAGGTAGTTGTTCATCACTCACATCAACCAAAATTCGGTACTTATTGACCGACACGTTTGGCTGGACACCACTCACATCACCCAGTAGTACTTGCTAGCCACAAAACAGCTGTTTCGTTCGTTTGGGATCGAGCTTATTGCCAGTCTTCCAGGTTTTCCTCTGAATAATTTGAGTTTCCAAAGGAAACACCATGGTGATATTTCACCTCCAACCGTGTAAATTATAAAAATTGTGAATTTCAACTAATACAAATAGTTTATGATAATAGATGATTGTAGGCAATCGTCTGGAAAACTGGTCTGATCTAGGCCTCGTGCTAGTTGGTACTTACCGATCAACAAGGCGTATCTTCAACCTTGAAGGAACGCATGTCCCTTCTGAAATTCGAACTAGCACCACCCAGTGCTGCAGTCAGAGTCATTACCACTGAGCTACTTGAGCTCGCGCCTGACCTCCTGGAGGACGGTAGTGGGTATTTCCATTGGACACTACCAACTAGTGTGACGTGTCTAGTCCTTTCTTTGATGCAGACTGAAATCTATCAGTCAAGTTTGCAATTTGGCCACCATTCTAGGTAGCAGATACTCCTTGCTGACTGGTAAGTGACAACTAGCACGAAGACTAGGTGAGACTACGATTCCTGCCGATTGCCTCCAACCATTTAATATCATCAAATCAATGTGCACCATGATGGTGAGCTACCTGAATGGTGGCCACATTGTAAAACCTGACTGATAGAATTCAGTCTGCAGCAAAGAAAGGACTAGACACATCACACTAGTTACTAGTGTCCAACCAAAATTAAGACATTGGCTAGCGGTCGCGCTATGTCGTGAATTGGCAGAAGTTAGAATTCAAGGACCATTGGATCGGGTCCCAGTGGCTTAATGGTATACGAGCTCGCCTTGTAACCGGAAGGTCCTGGGTTTGAATCGCGGAGGGTGCGTACTGCTGAAGAGTCCGAAACTAGGACAAAACAGCTGTCCAGTACTCCCAGGTTTTCCAATGGTTTTCTAACTAATGTCAACTCATGATGAAATCCTGAAACCAAAATTAAGTTGTTTGAACAATAATTCCTTGCAGTGTTGCCATTCACTGATAGATATCAATCTGCACGATTAGCAACCAGACACAAAACAACGGTTACTCCCTAGTAACTGATAGATACATTCATTACGGTCCTACTGGATGTCAGTCGCGAGTCCGAATAGCTCACTTATAATATCATTATATGGTGAGGGCGCGTTCATATAGCATATAGTCCTCTTCACACCATGTCCAAAACAACTGGATCACCCACTATCCTATAACTCTTTGCAGATTTGATAACCAAATTTGATGAGAATACTGTCACAGTATATGGTGGGCTAGGTACACTGACAGTCAAAATAACTAAATATATATTTTTAAGTATTTCAGTGAACTCAAATAAACTTTGAAGTAAGTAATTCTCTGATAAAATCAAAGGATGAGGATAATCTATCGACCTTCGTTTCGTGCTTACTGGCACTTGTCACCAAGATGTTTCTGCAGCTGTCAAGAAACTTACGTTCTTTCGTAGGGTGAAACATACAACACCTAGTGCTGGATTACAGGATTTCATCAGGAGCTGACATTGGTTACAGAACCATTGGAAAACCTGGAGAAGTGGATAGCTGTTTTGTCCTAGTTTGGGAGTCCTCAAGAGTACGCACCCGCGGGAGTTCGAACTCAGGACCTTCTGGTTACAAGGCTAGCAAGCTCATAGACCATCAAGCCAGTGGGACCCGATCCAATGGCCCATGAATTCCAACTTCTGCCGATTCACGATATAGCGTAACCGCTAGCCAATGTCTTCGGCGAGTATTTGTCCTCACACCCAACCTCCTGGTCACAACCTAGTGCTGGAATCAGAGACGTTATCAATGAGGTATTTAGGCTTACTAGTGATCTCTAGTAGGACCGTATTCAATTGATCTACCAGTTATTGGGGAGTAACTGTTGTCTTGTGTCTGGTTGATAATCGTGCAGATTGGTTTCTATCAGTAAATATCAAGTAGCTAAACACTATAAGGAATTAATGTTCAAACAACCTTAATTAGTTGAACCGTGTTACAATGTGCGTCGGTGGTCCAATGGTAGAATACTCATCATCCGCAAACATGGAGCGGGGTTCACTGTCCGACGGACCCATTCTTAAACCTCTGTCAGCCGGTAGTAGCCCTGGTAAAGAGGGAAGGTTGGGCGTTAGGCTAGTACCCTCACTCACTAAAACATAAACGCCACAGCTGCTGTAACTACAAAGTTCAAGCTTGAAGCCTTCTCATGTTCCACTAGGTTCGCAAAGGAGTTAAATAAGAAAGATAATAATATTTTCCCATATAGTCCCCTAAAAATTTAATAGACCTACTGTTCACTAATATTACCTTCTTGACAATAAAGAACCTCAAGTAAATAAGACAATCTCTTCAAATAAAACTTACGGAGGAAGCATTCTTGCAATTAATAGTTCAGTTTTCTTTTTCTCAGTCTCCAGTTCTTCTGTACGTACTCGCACTTGATCTTCTAAATCAGCTGAATACTTTTCCATCATTTTGAACATATGATCGACTATATTAATTTTTCTAAAATATAGTATAATTATTATAGAGATTTAATTGGTTTTCTACAAAGTATTTATAAAATTTCTATAAAAAGCTAAGCAGTGCGTATTGTAACTTTACATTTAACTTGAGAATATTATCGTTATTTCTGTCAATTTTGTTGAACATTGAACACTTTGTTTGTTCGAACTCGTCTCCGTTTGGCGGGAGATAAGAAGAATGTTTAATCGTGTACTGGTTGGCAGAAGATTAGAGAAATACGATCAGAAGTATTCTTCTACATCATATTAACGTTTATTTACAGACAATAGCACTGATTAACCACTGTAAATCTGTTTCGTTATCGCTTGATGAATTAATAATCGTTGTTGCATAGGTTACAGTGTATAGTATTCTACGTGTTAGGCTTAGTCTTCTGAAACTAGAAATATGTTCAGGACCTCAGTGATGTGGATATTTGACAGAGTTTCAACACAACATCTCAGTTTCATTCTGTTCTCTGCAATCCTGTTAAACAGACGCAATGATTTTCTATAAACTCTCATCCACTATTCATACGATCTCCTCTATGTCATCCTCCGACCCATATCCAACTGGGTGTTTCCCATTCGTGTTCCAGTCAAGTATTGGCTTGACATGCTATATCACTCAATGATGTCTTCAATGGCTCATGTCCGATCCACCTGCATTTTCTTCGGAATATTTGATGGTAATGTTTTTCGTGACGCACCAAGTTTCATTCCATTTCACTATGGCGAAAATATTCATTCAGACATTTAGAAAAAACAAAAAAAACTGAACAAAGAACATTCTTTTCGATAATTTCCTCTTCTGGCTCTTCAATTATATATGTGTTTATACAGGTAGAATATTCTAGAGTAGTAGTCATTACCAATATTGAATTTTTTAAAACATTATCATTTTCTTAAGTAAGATCAATGGAATTACAGTCCACTACAGATGCATAAGTTATTATAAACATAAAATATAATAGCAAATAGAACATCAAATAAAATTAAGGAAATTTTCACAACGAAATGACGATCATTAGAACCTTGATGACCAAGGTATGGACAATGTTTGAACCAACTTCTTCTTTTGGATACAAAAGTTAGGTTTCTTAATGTGGATCGCAACAGCCAGCCTCAGCAATATGTAGTAGAAAACTCTTAAGGTGAAGTTAAGATCAATTTATATGCGGTAAATGACTTTGAGAGGTGCCTCGTTAACACCTATCTTGTGTTCTGTATCCACGAGTTGAGATAGAATAGCTCTGTGAATGGATTTTGTTCGAACCTTCACTTAACCACGCAGGGTGATGTTCGGAAATCTGTTGTCACATTGAGAAATGAATTATATTCAAAGACTTTGTACAAGTCTTTGTATTTTGCACAAATGGATAACTTAACCGAGCCTTGTAATTACATTTCAACTGATAATCTTGCTAACTTGGTCTGAAGTCTAGATTTATTATTCAATTCTGCTAGTACTTACTTCCATGTTAAAGAAGTACACCCTTAAATAGAGTCTGTAAATTAAGTCATATCATCTGTAAGGAATATTATTTACCATTATTTCCTTTAACTCCTAGAGGAACATAGGGTTTCAGCCAAACGTCTCCATTGCATTCGGTTCTCTGCCAACGTTTTCACCTGGCTCCACATCTGCCCACGTATATTCATCTCCTCTTCACATGACCTCCTCCAAGTCACCCTCGGAAGACCAAATTGCCGCTTCCCGTTCGGGTTCCACTTGAGCAATGGCCTGGCGTGTGATGTCACTTGATGGTTTGTTTCCTCAGAGTATGGCCAGTCCATCTCCATTTCTTCCTGCCTATTTGTTGCACAATCGGTTCCTGCTGGTTGGTTCGCTCATTGCCAGAGGTCCCTGTTGCTGATCTTTTCTAGTCGGCCATCTGATCTTGAGTATTGAGCGAAGACAGCTGTTAATGAAGGTCTGTAGTTTGTCTGAGGTACTCTTCATAACGCGCCAAGTGTCTGTTCCGTATAGTAAGTAGCACTGACTGACTTCACATTGGATTTGAAAAACTAGACCTTATTTTCATTTTCATGCTGAATGCTGTTGACCTTTACCCAGACGTGAGAGTAATGAAAGCTTTGCTTGCTTTCTCGATCCTCGCTTTCATATCCTTATCAGTTTTTCCGCATGTAGTTGAAACGATGCTTTTCTGATAGGTAGGTAGGTATTATGGGTGAATTTTTCGTTTTGATAAACTCTCACAGTGTTATACAGTAATGTTTACTGATTGTCGGAAAATAAGAATTTAGCTAAGGTAAGAATGGTTGACCCTGAAAAGATAAGTAATTTAGAAAAAAGCTCAGCAATTGCAATGCATGCATTAACACACAACCACACAATAGGATGGGAGAGGGTTAAAATTCTAAAAAGTAATCTAAATAGGTGGAGAGAGAGGTTGATTACTGAATCCTTGTTCATCGAGTCTACACCCAACACATGCAATAGGAATGACTCATCACTCATACCTGAAATATGGAAAATACTACTGCCAATCAAATCAAGTGAAAAATAATGGAACTATATAAATGAAGTTAGGAAGTCGTGTGAGTACCTTGATATGATTATAAGAAGTAATAAATTGTGCTCGAAACGTCATCAGCAAACATTACTGTATAACACTGTGAGACTTTATTAAAACAAAATTTACCCATAATGGAATTATACTCTACCACAGTGCACAAGTTTTGTTCTTATATCAAGGTAGGTAGGTAAGTAAAGGAGGTTGCTTCTTTTGGATTCCTCCCATTTATCTGGCTGATTATTGTCTGTTGTTGTTGTTGCTGTTGGCCAGGAATCTTCATCACCTCTGTTTTCCCTATGTTCAGCTGAAGTGATATCCTATCTTGGATGCATCTTCTGCCAACTTGTTACTTTTCACTTGCATATCTTCCAGTTTGGGGAAATCAGACATATATCATCGACGAAGTCCAGATCCTCCAAGTTTTCTTGTGTGGGTCCATTTTTGCCTGTTTCCTCATTGCTCGCCGCTGTCTATCACATTATTCAATCTACTGAAATCAGGAAAACCATTTGCCATAGTAGGTAGCCAGCCTTGTCTTACTCCCGTCATCACTTCGAAGGCTTCCGTAACTTTCCCGTTGTGGATTACTTGGCATGCAGCATTGTCGTATAACTGTTGGATGAGATGTATAATTGTCGATGGGATCCCGTAGTAGCGAAGTAGTTACCAAATCACCTCTCGATCGACGCTGTCGAAGGCCTTTTCAAAGTTGACGAAGTTGAGATAGAGGGTGACTACCATTCCAAACTCTGTTCAATGATAAGAAATATAATATTCAAGAATATGCGAAGAGGGCGATTGAAACAGATTTCTAATCATCGAATCATTTGAGAGTACAATGCAATAGAAATGACCTAACACGGACATCTAAGAACATGATTAATGAAAAGTGAAAAATACTTTTACCTTCCTTGATTGAGTAGTCTAAACTGTTGATAGATTTCTTCGAATGTTGGTCTCATTACAGGACTCTCTGCCCATGCACGTTTCATAAATTCTATATACGCTGGTGGAGCTTCAGACTGTGATACCTTGATTTGCAAAGTGAAAAATATTTAGAAAGATAAAATCAAAGACCGACTACCATTCACTTATAGTTACATGAAAAACAAAATAAATTCTTTCTCTGATTAAATACTAGTAACTAGTTAGTGTGATGTGTGTAGTAGTCCGTGTGATGCAGACTGAATTCTATCAGTCAGGTTTGCAATATGGACACCATTCTAGTGTTAGCTCTCCATCACGGTGCATATTGATTTGATGATATTACACCTATGGGGTTTTCTGTTCAGTTTTCAACTTCACTCACAGTCCCTAAACTCTTTTTTTTTTACCATATCTTCTCATTTTACTTCAGTCAGTTCTGTTTCACTCTTGTTGTGAACTCTACTTTCCTCACTATGCTTCTTTTGACTTATCTAGAAAATATAGGAACATTGGCCAGCTCGCTTGCGATAATCGGCAGGAAGCCTAGTCTCACCTAGGTTTCGTGCTAGTTGGAACTCACCAGTCAGCAAGGGGGTATCTGCTACCTAGAATAGTGGTCACATTGTAAACCTGACTGACAGAATTCAGTCTGCACTAAAGAAAGGACTAGACACGTCACACTAGTTACTATTAGTGTCCAATGAAAATACCCACTACAGTCCTATAGAAGGTCAATCATGAGCCCAAATAGCTCAGTGGTGGCATTTCTGACTGAAGGTGGCAGTGAGTGACGCTAGTTCGAACCTGAAAAGGGACATGAGTTCCTTCAAGGTTGCAGATACGCCTTGTTGACTGGTGAGTGCCGACTGGCATGAAACCTAGGTTAGGTAGGGCTTACTGCTGATTGCCTTTAACTATCTAATATCATGAGCAGCTTTTTGTCGGACTTAATTCAGTGTACGGTCTCGGCTAAATAGTCTTGCCTTATATTCCTCCATAGGTGGGACAATTAACTTCATCCTCAGGCTTAGACGTGATCTCCGCGAACTTGTTCGTTCTGTTGGTACTTTTATCGTGCAGAGCACTGAAATAGAAACTATGTGAAGCAGTAAATGCCCTAGAATAGTTTTTCATCTGAATTTTCTTGGTCATTCCATATCTTGTTGATTTCTAAGAAGTTGTTTTGTCTAACCTTCTACATTAGGAAGTTAACACAATCAAGAATCACTCAACTTCTACTTTTACAACCTGTTGACTTCTCCATCTTACCTCTTGTTCTCAATTGTTCCCCTTTAGTCATCCCTGAGCTATTCAGAAACTGCTGTCATATTGCAAAGGGTAACAAAGGCTGTTCGGCAGAGCATTTCATTTGCTACTAAGTCAGTTCTTTGCTACTATAATTAGACAGACACCTGAACTTATGCGAGAAATGGGAAAAAGCCATATTGTCTGACTCTCATGATCCTCTCTATTCAACAACTCTCTCAGTCTTGAATCTTATCAGATAGAAGGACTAGAAGTCTTTGTAAAATATTCTGTGTTCCTACAACCAAGTACAAAAACTCAACGGTATGCCATTTGGATAAAATTTTATGTGATGGATAAAGTCTTTAGTGTCAAACTTAAAACTTACTATGTAAATAACACAACATATGGCCCATTAGTCTTCTGTGTGTGATTTATGGTGACTGTCTTTCATTTATCTTACAGTTCCAGTCATTAATAATATTATTGCTACTTCATACTTTTGTATATTTCCGACTATTAGTTACTGCTAATACCATAATGCTGCTATTATCAATTTTGTTTACCTATGTCACGTAATGTTTTCTTGTTGTTGTTGTTGTTGTTGTTGATGGGTAAATTCGATGCAATATTGTAGCAAATGGTGTATGATAAGTTTATCATTATTATTATTATTATTCCCTTGGGTTCCGAGTGGAACATACGGCTTCAACAACACATCTCCACTTTCTTGTATTTTGTTCTGTCCTCTTCATCTGGGTAGACGACGTACCGTACTCTCCCTCCTCGCCTCCTCAACGTGTGCTCAGTCCATCCCAATTTTCTCCTACATATTTGTTAAGCAAACGGCTCTCGTCTGTTGGCCTGTTCCCAGCCAGCCAGCCAGATTTTCTTGTTGGTAATTCTTTCCGGCCGGCCAGCCGGCTATTTGATTCACAGGATGCAGCCAGCCAGCAAGGGTAGCAGCCGTTGACAAAAGTCTGAAGTGACTTGTTGGAAATTCTTTCCATGACATGCTGGCCACGTTTCTCCCCCATACAGAAGTAGCGACTGACTTCAAATCTGTGTGTTGAATATTCGAATCTTGTCCTTTATGATACTAACTTAGTGCAGAAGAATTTTAAACTAGTTTCAAGTTGATGAAAGTGTATCTCGCCTTTCCGATTCTGGATGGATGGCTGGCTTTGATATCTTCATCCGTGCCATCCGACTACCTGTGGTTGAAACCATGCTTCCCGGCGAGGTAAGTGAAGAGAGTAACCTCTGTCAAATCTCTCCCTTCGATGGTGATTGGTTCTGGTTGTTGTTGTTGATGCAGTTGTTGATTGGTTATCTTGATCACTTCCGTCTTCTCTATGTTTGATAGGAACTGTCTAGAGTAAAGTGAGTCATCATCATTATTATGTATTTATTTTATTCCTTTATGGTCCTGTTGGAAGGTAGGCCTTCAAGGTACAAGCTTCGAAGTTTCATCAGCAATGATTTTACTGTTTTCACGGAGTGAGCTTACTGGCCTCACATTCAGTTCTCCTTCTTTACCTGGTTTGCTAACGGCTAAATAAGGTTCATGAGTGAGTTGGTAGGCGATAGAATGCTGGACCACATGTGATTTGGTTACCGGGCAGTCTACCATTGAAACGCTAACGCTTAACCCTGTGACAGTTCTATAATATTCTCTTTCGAACTACAAATCTACCTTAGATTTTACAAAAGAAATCAATCAATCAATCATCAACAACAATCTAGTGGTCTTTAAAACATTCAAATGAAAGCAATTTATTCAATTGTGTAAAAGAAAGATAGTCATTATTAACCAGGATTAATAGTAGGCTACCTTTCTTCATCCACACTTACTTTTGGTCTGCACAATGGTGGTGGTTTACGAACTTTACTTAATATCTCTTTTGGACTTAATCCAAGCATACCATAGGGTTCATCACGTGTTATAATTTCTTGCATTACAATAGCGAATGAATAGACATCACCTTTTTGACTACCAAAATGTACATTGTTCTCTTCACGTAAATGTTCTGGTGCAGTCCATAGTAATTCTTAATAGCAATATTATGAATAAAATGAAACATTATTTCATAAAGGTATAATTTCTATTGAGAAAAATACTAAAAAATAAAAAAATTGTTTGTTCAAATATCTTTTTATTCCTTTACGTTCCCACTGGAACATAGGGCTTCAAGCTAGAGGCTTGAAGTCTCGGTAGCCGTGGTATTTATTTTTGTGGGTTGTGGTTGCCAGCCTCATGCTCGACCTTCCCTCTTTACCAGTCTTGTTTCTGGCTTAACGAGGTAAAGAAGTGCGTCGGTGGCCAGGGATCGAACCTTGAACCACGTGAGTCGTGGTTGACAAGCATTCTACCTCTGTGCCACCAACGCCTTCAAATCTAATACTAAAGTGATATGTGTCTTAGGATTTCTACATGAAGTTTAATCGTCGCAACCTTGTCCATATAAAAGAGTAAATCCCTAAAGATTCCCTATCTGATGGTGTATATAAAATCAAATCTTTGGCACCTGATGCAATGTACATCGGACAAACATCACCAGAGAGAAATCAAGGGGGTCAGAAGAAATGAACATCGTAGAGCCGCATCTGTTCGACCGCCGAGAAATCCAGCTGAACTAGAGAAGCTTGAAAGGTCATCAGCCATATGTCCAAATGCATAATAGAATCAGGTCACAAAATTGATTTTCACAATATTGAAATCGTCATTCAGAAAAATTTCAGAAATCACATAGAATGTCTCATTTCAACCAGAAGCACTTCATATCAAATGGAGTCCAAATGGCTAGGGGTCGCGCTATAACGTGAATTGGCAGAAGTCAGAATTCATGGGCTGGTCATTGAATCGGGTTCCAGTGGCTCAACGGTCTACGAGTTCGCCTTGTAACCAGAAGGTCCTGGGTTCGAATTCCGCCGGTGGGTGTGTGCTGCCGAAGAGTCCCAAGCCCGGACGAAACAGCTTTCCAGTAATCCCAGTTGGTTTTCCAATGGTTCTCTAACTGATGTCAGCTTATGATGAAATCCTCCATCCAATCAAGTCCCTACAAACCAACACTGGAATCCAAATTGTCTAAATAGGAATGATAGACTAAAACAGAATTTGACCTGGTTACAACACCCCCGACCGAACCTCCATGAAATGACAAAATCAACACGAATATGATAAGCAATTTCATTATGTAAACACAGGATGCTTTTATAATTTTATACACTTATCAAATCCAACAATCTACACCTGATTTTGTTATCTTTACGAATTGGCCAGTTTGACTACGCACAAGTGACCTCATACTGAGGAACGATGATTAAGGTGTTATGTTTAGGCTGAGATTTTGTAAATTCTGGTTTAATAATACCACTTTGATAAAGCTGTTAGCAACATTGAATAGCAAAACGCCAGTAAAAACAACAGCATCATTTTGTTTTTCATTCATTGGGAAATACAAGATAACCTTTATTGTAACGAATATCATATACCTAATGCCCAAACTTTTCAAACTGTTAAAATTCAACTTGTTTTAGATATATATAATTTGATCGTCAAACTTTAGAACTTTATCAACAGTATTTTACATTACATCATGAATTTATGTCTATTTTATCTTGAACTTGAATACTGATTTTTAAATGATACTTTTTATCATCGTTCTAATAGGTTCTGAGTGGAACATAGGTCTTCAAAATAACATCGACATTTCATCTTGTTCTCTAATGTGGTCTTCAGCTGACTGCAACGTTGCCCACAAGTTGTCATCTACCACCACGCCGCAAAACACATACTATCTCCTCCATGTTACCCTCAGATCAACGCTTAACTTGTCTTTTTAAATTTAGGTTCTACTCGACAGCCGAATGGACAGTGTCATTCAAAGGTCTGCTTAGCGTGTGTCCAGTTCATCTCCATTTTACTCAGACTACTTGTTCAACATTGCGTTCTTGTTTGGCTTGTTCGAAGAGTTCCTTGTTGCTAATCCTTTCTGACCAATCATATGACTTTCACTATGATACAGGAGAAGGCAGTTGTTGATAAAAGTCTGCATCGGCCTGTTGGAAATGCTTTTCTTGACGGGCCAAGTTTCGGATCCATACAGAAACAGTCGTTTGACACTGGGGTGTCGAAAATTCGAATCTTGATCCTTATGCCTACTTAGTACTGTAGATTGATTTCAGAGTGATGAAGGCCTGTCTTGCTTTTCTGATCCTGACTTACTTTGACATCTCAATCCATGCCACCTGTAGTTGAAAGGATGCTACCTGGATAAGTGTAGAGAGAGACCTTATTCAAATTTCTCTCGTTGACGCTAACCGATGCACAATTCTTTCTATTAGTTGATCATCTTCATTACCATCTTTTCTCTTAATCCCTTTGAAGTCATGCCTACACGGCCTGCCTATTCTGCCAGCCAGTTGGTTTCCATCTGTAGATCTTCGAATTTATGGGACATTAGGAAAACCTTATCCGAGAAGTCCAAATCTTCTACAGTCTCCTTGTCGGTCCGACGTATTCCCGTCTTCTCACTCCCCACTCATGGTCTGTTGAATAATCCATTCTACCGTAATTAAGAATACCGTCGATGATAGTAAGCAGATAGCCCTGTCATACTCCTGTCTTCACTTCAAAGGTTTCAGTGGATTTCCATTTGTGGATTACTTGGCAATCGCTACAGAAACTTCAAAATATGATTCTTGAATTCATTCTTACGGAATTTCATGTGAGGAGAATTGTTAAATCAAGAAGTTGACAACATGATCCGTAATTATTTTGTCATATGGGAAATTCAGAAGCAGATCTTTTATATGCGAATTATTTTTTCATCATGACAACAAGATTCTACTCAAAAACGGGGAAAGTTACTGTTACACAGCGGAGTTGATGACGCCACTGCTGGAGAAGGTGTGGAAGGAGGGATTGGAAGAAAGGATACTTATTCAAACTACCAAAGAAAGGAGACTTAAGTCAATGCAAAAACTGGCGTGGAATTATGCTCCTGCTCACCCCAAGCAAAATACTAAGCCGCATCATCCTGGAGAGAATCAAACAAGCCCCTAGATGCAAAACTCCGACCGAAACAAGCTGGATTCAGGAGAAACAAGTCATGTATTGATCAAATCGCCACTCTACGGATCATCATTGAGCAAAGTTTGGAATAGCAGTCATCTCTCTATCTCAACTTCACCAACTTTGAAAAGGCCTTCGACAGCGTCGATCGACAGGTGATTTGGTAACTACTTCGCTACTACGGGGTCCCATCGACAATTATACGTCTCGTCCAACAGTTATACGACAATGCCGCATGCCAAGTAATCTACAACGGGAAACGGCCGGGAGTGAGGCAGGGTTGTCTACTATGGCAAATGATTTTCCTGATTGCAGTAGATTGAACAATGCGACAAACAGTGGTGGGCAATGAGGAAACAGGCATAAAATGGACCCACACAAGAAAACTTGGAAGATCTGGACTTTGTCGATGATATATGTCTGATTTCCCCAAACTGGAAGATATGCAAGTGAAAAGCAACAAGTTGATGGAAGAAGCATCAAAGATAGGACTTCAGGTGAACATAGGTAAAACACAGGTGATGAAGATTCTTGCCAACACCACCAACAACAACAACAGACGACAGTCAGCATAAATGGGAGAAACCTGAAAGAAACAACCTCCTTTACCTACCTGAGAAGCATCGTTTCAACTACAGGCAGAAGGAACTGACGAGGATATCAAAGCCAGAATCGGAAAAGCAAGACAAGCTTTCATTACCCTTAAGTCTGTGTGGAGGTCAACACCACTCAGCATCAAAAATAAGATCCGGATTTTCAACTCCAATGTGAAGTCATTGCTACTGTACGGATCAGAGTCTTGGTCAGTGTGTCATAAATAGCATCTCAAACAAACTACAGACCTTCATTAATAGTTGTCTTCGCTCAATACTCAAGATCACATGGCCAGCCAGAAAAGATCGGCTACAGCGATCTCTAGCAATGAGCGAACCAACCAGGAACCGATTGTGCAACAAATAAGCAGAAAGAAATGGAGATGGAGTGGCTGGCCATACTCTGAGGAAACAAACCATCAAGTGACATCACTAGACAAGCCATTCCTCGAGTGGAACCCGAAAGGGAAGCGGCGAGTTGGTCGTCAGTGCAAGGGTGGACTTGGAGGAGGTCATGCGAGGAGGAGATGAAAGCATGTGGTCAGACTTGGAGTGGGGTGAAAAAGTTGGCAGAAAACAGAAGGCGATGGAGATACGCAGCTGAAGCCCTAAGTTCCTCTAGGAATTAAAGGATATAATAATAATAATAATAATACTGTTACACAGTGCAATGCAGTGACCAGAGACAATAAAAGGAGACACAGGTTCCAGTGAACACCAATCTTCCGACCAAGACAGAAGTAGTGAAAGTGATAACGCTACTGAAATCAGCAGGAATAAATGGGACTTACACAGAAGTACTCAAAAATGACCCTGAGATCTCGGCAAAAATGATCACGGCAGTGTTTCAGAAAGTCTAGAAGGAAGGGGAGCTACTTGCAAATTGGAAGGAGGGCTACCTTGTGAAACTATTGTTTAAAAGAAGCCAACGTAGCACAAAATTATGCTTGTATCCATTCCCAGCAAAATTTTAAGCGGCGTACAGAACAGAACAAGAAACTGTCCCTGAAGAGGCTCGATTCAGATGGAAACAAGCCGTAAACGGATCAATTTGTAACACACCGGATAGAATGGGACTCAACTATCTGCCTCATACACATAGACTTTATAAATGTCGTCAGCAGTGTCGATCATGAAGTAATTTCAGATCTGCTTCAACACTGCGGACTGCAGTACATCTGGATGGATGACATACGTCATCCATACAGCCCATAAGCTCAGAGGTGCACAGGAAGCATGACTACGGTACAGGTTTTACAGGTAAACGATCAGTTTACAGCTAATCTGAAATGTTTTCATCAAATGGTTGTTTTTTATTTTGCCTAGTTAACTTATTATGAAGGAATACAACTGACAATATTTCATAGTTAATAAGGCCACCAGATTAGTTTATCTATTAGGTATATCACACAGCGAAACAGTATTATTATTTACTAGATGACACAGTTTCGAAATCAATTTATCATGGTTCATAATCGTGTCAATTGTGATCACACGACTTTGAAATTTGAGTTTTATAGTTTCCTTGTCTTCTCTATTTGTCATCGTTGGGGTAGTAGAATTTTCCATATATCTGGGACAGGTGTTAAATCATTTCTGTTACATGTATTTGCAGTTGATTCGATAACACAAAGCTTCTGTTATCAATCTCTCCCTATACCCTGTGACCTTAGATTTTAAAGTTGTCATCCTGTCCCATCCATCCTATTGTATAGTTGTGTGTAACTGCATGTAAAGCCACCAGAGATGATTAACGAGAGATAGGTGAATGATGGTACTCCGTCCTCATTGAGACATATCAGCATGCTTCTATTCCGGAGAATATTTATTACTTCCTTTAACTCAGAAATCTTGAAAATACAAAAGTCACCAGATCACAAACTGTCATGTTGTAAGCACATTACTTGCAGCTCTATGAGTAGCCCATTTGAACTTCAAGATTACTTCTAACAACAAGTGGTAGCCATTATAACTGAGAGTGTCTACTAAATCTCTGAAGTTTGAAGGTCTGACAAGTGGGATGGTGTTATCTTCATTCTGATGAGTATCAGAATGATTCGGCTATAAGTCATTATTAACAAAAAACAAAAATATAACCATAACGTATTATACGAAAGAAAGTGAAATCTAATGTAAATACATTTAATAGCATACCTTCATCTTTTATCTTTCTATTTGTCCCATATATACTATAGATATCGGGTAATCCATAGTCGGTAATTTTTACAACCCATCTACCATCGACACAACAATTTGTAGATTTCAGCCAACCATGTTTTTTAAGTGGACTCGAATGTACATATCTCATACCCTTAAATTCAAGATAAAGAAAAAACAGATGCAACACAATATGTATGAATAATTTAAGAATATTTAATCAAAATATTATTTCTTAATTTATTTGAATAGCAAAAATCTACAGTTTTCAATTAAAAATGTAGTTAGTTATAAGACACAACCGTATCTTCAACGCTTTCTAGTACATTTGACAGTTTACAAATGTACCACTGATAGAAACAATTGATATAATTTGTAAACAAACGGATCTACTACCATTACCGGAAACAGAGATGAAGCGACTTCTACTGCTCTGCACAAAAGATATACAATTCAAATTCAACAATCAACTTTACCGACAAACCGATGGGGTCGCGATGGGTTCGCCTCTGGGACCTATCCTGGCTGATATCTTCATGGGCTACCTTGAGCAGACACAACTAAGTTCTGCTATCAATGGAACTACCTACTATCGCCGATATGTTGATGACACATTTGTTGTTTGCAACGATATGGATCACGCATCGGCACTATATGATCGCCTAAATGAGATACATCCAAATATCAAATTCACCATGGAATATGAACATAATAATGAGTTCAATTTCCTGGATCTAAATGTAAAAAGAACAAACGAAGGCACGGTCGAAAAGTCCATCTATAGAAAAGAAACCTGGACTGGACAATATCTTCACTATAACAGCTTTTGTCCCATAAGCTATAAACGTGGATTAGTGAGGACTTTGTATGACAGAGCCAGAAAGCTATGTTCACCAAACAGGGTCGAAGAAGAATTAGTTTTCGTCGAGAAATGCCTAAGGGAAAATGGATACCCTAAGGGATTTATTCAGAAGTACAGCAGAGAAAAAGATGAGAAAGAAAAGCATCCAACTGTAGAAAAGAAAAAAGTGTTTATCTGTCTACCATACAAAGGAGATGCAGTGTCACAAAAGATTGACAAAAGACTGAAAGGTGCAATAAATAGAAGCTTCCCAGCAGCAAAACTCATAACAGTATACAGCACCACTCCTTCTTTAATCCACTCAAAACTGGATAAATACCCTGCTGATGTCACCTCCAACTGCGTTTATGAATTCACGTGCACTTGCGGGAGCAAGTACATTGGAAGGACAGAAAGAAGGGCTTCTATCCGGTTTTCTGAACATATTCCCAAAAACCTGTGCCTGAAAGGAAGCAGATATTCCCAGAGTGCAATTACCAGACACATTATTGATACCGGACATCTCGTAGAGATTTCTAAGTCCTTCAAAATATTAAATAGACAAAGGACAGCAAATTTACTACGATTTGCCGAAGCAATCGCAATCAAAAGACTTAAACCAGACTTATGCATACAGAAAGAGAGTGTGATTAACCTCTCACTCCCTTGGTAACAGAATTTTGATTTTGATTAGTCATCTAATTCAGTGATCTCAACTCACTGAACAAATCTTAATCTCATAAACTGTAACCGTTTTTTTTTTGTTTCTTGAGTTGCTATGTGAACCTAAAAGCTAACACTGTTCTGTTAATCAATTTTTTCTGTTTTCTCTCTTACCCCTCCCCCTCTTTTCAACTTTAAAAGCGTATAAATTGATGATGAAAACTTAAACTAAAAACATTGTAATGCTTTCATTTAGATGCGTCAATTTTATAGTATCTCTTTTCTACCACCACTCGAACATTAAAGTATGTTATTATCATCTATATAACCATTGTAATTTCAGGTAGTCTGCAGCTGATGAGAACCTGTGAAATAGAATGATATCATTTTATACTGCAAATTTCGTCTTCCTTTCTTTATCGTAATAAATAAGTATCAAGAAATTGGTGCCGCTAACAATTTTACACCTTATCCAACAGTTGTAGGATAATGTTGCATGCCAAGGAATCCGTAATTGGAAACTTATGGAATCCTTCAAAGTGAAGACGGGAGTGGGACAAGTTGGCTGGCTGTCTACCGTCTCCAATGATTTTCCTGACTGCGGCAGACAGACAGCAGGCAACGAGGAGGCAGGCATAAAATAGACCCACACAAGTAAAACTTGGAGGATCTGGACTTCGCCGATGATATATATGTCTGATTTCCTACAAACTGAGAGATATGCAAGTGAAAACCAACAAGTTGATGGAAGAAGCATCAAAGATAAGAATTCACTTCAGGTGAACATAGAGAAAACATAAGTGAGTGGTGAAGATTCCTGGCCATCACCAACAGCGACAGCAACTACTAGAGACAGCAATCAATCAGCATAAATGGGAGGAGTTCGTGTCGGTGGCATAGCGGTTAGGACGCTCGCCGACCATGCACATGGTCCGGGGTTCGATTCCCGGCCGACGCACTCCTTTACCTCGCTAAAAACGAGAAATAAAGCTGGTAAAGAGGAAAGGTTGGGCATGAGGCTAGCAACCCTATCCTGTAAAAATAAACACCGCTACAGAAACTTCAAGCCTCCAGCTTGAAGCCCTATGTTCCACTGGGAACGTGAAGGAAAAATTATTTATTATTTATTAACTTCCTTTACCTACCTACCAGAGAAGCTTCGTTTTAACTGCAGGTGGACTGAACTGACGAAGATATCAAAGTGGAGGTCATCGGGAAAGCAAGGCAAGCTTTCATTTCTCTCAAGTCTGTGTGGAGATAGATCAACAGCACTCAGCATGAAAATGAAAATAATATGCTGATTTTCAATTCCAGTGTGAAGTCAGTGCCACTCTACGGATCAGAGATTTTGCACCATGTCACACAGGGCACTACAAGCAAACTACAGACATTCATCAACAGCTCAAGATGAGATGGCCGACCTGGAAATATCCGAAACAGGGATCTCTGGTAATGCACGAACCAACCCAGCAGGAACCGATTGTCTAACAGAACGGTGTGCAGAATGAAAATGAGGTGGATTGGCCGTACTCTGAAAAAACAAACCATCAAGTGAGATCACACGCCAGGCTGTGGCTTGAGTGGAAATTGACTGAATAGGAAGCGGCGAGTTGGTTGTGAGCACGAGGACGACATGTAGGAGGAGGTCGTGTGAAGAAGATATGAAAGCATGTGGGCAGACATGGAGTCAGGTGAAAACGTTGGCTGAGAACTTAACGCAATGGAGACTTGCAAATGAAGCCTTATGTTCCTCTAGGAACTGAAGGAAACAATAATAATAATCAAGAAATTGATTTTTACAAGATTAGTGGAATTTTTATTATACCCTTAGGTTTCAAGTGGACTGGAGGGCTTCTGCAACACATTGCCATTTCACCTTGTTCTCTGCAGTCCTCTTTAGCTTGCTTCAGGATGGTAAATAGACTCTCACATTCTTCTTACACGATTTCCTTCATGTCAACCTTAGACCAATGCTCAACTTGTCGTTTCTACTCGAGGATTGGATGAGCATTTTCATTCAGTGGTCTCCTAAGTGTGTGTCTGAGCCATCACCATTTTCTTCAGGATATCAATCAGTTGGACAATTAGTTCCTGGTTGGTTTATTGCCAGGGTTGCACTGTTGGGAGGATTATCACTGGTGAAATATTAAACTCTACCGTTAACATAAATTTTGAATTACACTGATGAGTACAATTCGTAGAAACTATTTTTAGGTAAATATTCAAGTAAAAAAGTTTTAAATGGAGGTACCTTGGTTAATTTGGTTTGTAATCTGCTATTGCCTCTGTCTTAAGCAACGTCATTTGCAGTTGTTGAACGGATTTCTACATCTCTCTAAGACTCATTTAGCTGGTGATCAACTGTATTGCATCTGTAGTCGACTGAATGAATGCTCTTCCAAACGCGCCATCTATTTGTTCTAAGAAGCTGTCGTGATTTCATTCTTTTCGGAGGCTGTTACAACTTACCATAGGACCTGTTTCCATGTAAAAAGTCTAAGCGGTTGACAAGCATTACCCAATGGTAATGGCTCTCCATATCCTTAGCTTTATCATGCCTATCTTAATTATTTCTAAATAAGTTTGTGTGCTAGTCTAAACCCTTCTTCGATAAGTCACTTGGGGGCACTGACACTGCTTCTTCTGGTAGCTGGTTCCAAAAGTTTGTAACCGGGTGGAGGGACAAGTATTCTACAGTATGCCCTAAAACGCATGCTGAATCACTGCATTGCCTCAAATATGTATACACTCTGCATAAGAACCATACAGAGATGTAATTTAAGTTGCAGATAGGTAATGCATAATTGTGAGTAGTGTGAGGTATTGAGAAAAGTGTCTTTGTAGATAAGCAACATAATGCATCAGAGGGTGACCTTAGTAATACTACTGTCCTTCCACATTTACTAAGCAACTCTATCTTACATCACATTTACCACTGACTGCTATATGACTAATGTAATACCAGCATAAACTATTTCCATCAGTGTTCAACTTTATTTTTTTCATGTTGTGGAAGGAGTTTTCTTCATTATTACTCGTTCCTCATTATATTATTATTATTCTCTTGCGTTCTGAGTGGAACATATTGCTTCAACAAAACATCCCCACTTTGTCCTACCTTCTGCCATCCTCTTCAACTGGGTCTACGACTCTTTCATCTCTTCCTCACAAGATCTTCTGCATTTCACACTCCCATTGACGATCCACTCATCGCTTCCCGTTCGGTCGCCTCTCGAAAGCCTGGTATGCGATTTCATTCGGCTGCCTTCTCAGTATGTACCCAGTCTATCTCCATTTTCCCCTACATATTTATTGAGCGGTCGGCTCTTGCCTGTTGATTTGTTCCCATAGTTTCTTGTTGCTTATTCTTCCTGGCCGCCCATTTGATCTTCACTATGGAGCCAGCGAAGGCAGCTGCTGATGAAACTGTGCAATCTGTTAGAAATTCTTTTTCATGACACACAGTACAAGTTTTTGATCCGTATAGAAGAAGAACCGACCGACTTCACATTGGTGTTGAAAATGCCAATCTTGTTCCTTATGCTGGTTGAGTTAATGCATAAAATTTCCAAACTGGTTTCAGGTGGATGAAGGCGTATCTAGCCTTTCTGATTCTGACTTTGAAATCCTCATCCATTCTGTGGCCTGTAGTTGACACAACGCTTCCGAGATAAGGAAAGGAGATAATCTCTGTGAAATCTCTCCCGTTGATGGCGATTGGTGCTGGTTGTTCTGAATCAGTTGCCAGTGTGTGTCGTAGAATTGTCCTTTGTCTTTCATAGCACTCTTCTTCAATTCTTTATTCAGTGCAGTACAGTATACACTGAACTCAGATTCTCCTTCTGTCGTCCATATTTGCACTGAGTCATCTCCTCTTTCACCATCCTTCTCTTCTCTCTTCCATTAGCTTTCAGGTGTTACTTGAGGTTCAAACTTACACCTGTCCTTATACACAATTGACATACTCCTAAATGTTGCTTGGCCGGTTGTAATACCGGTAAAGAGGGCAGGTTGGGCGTCAGGTCAGCAACTCCACCTCTTTGAAAGAACACCCTCGCTACTGAAACTCTAAAGCTTGTAGCCTGCAGCTCAGAGTTCCACTCAGAAAGTGGAGAAATGAACTATAAAACAGTAGAGGATTTATTAAATGTTTAATACTCTCTCCAATTGTTTGCTTTGAGGCATATATATTACTTTAAAACCTAAAATTAAAAACTTTTATGGGTGTTTTGTTCTAGTGTTTTTACAGGTACTCGTCTAACAAAAGAACTTATCATCCAGTATTTACGTAAAAAGTTTTAATATTAGTTGGTGAACTGCATTACTGAAGTACTGAAGTATTAGAACGCAGTTGTTTTTATGATTCCCTTGTGCTCTGAGTGGAACTCAGGGCCTAAACAACACATCTCAATTTTATCTTTCGTTCTGCAGTCGTTTTTAGATTGCCCACGATCCTCCATAATTCCTCATCTCCCTCTCATAAGATTTATCCAACATCACCCTCGGACCACCACCCAATGTGTCGTTTCCCATTCGTATTACACTTGGGAGTCTGCGGTCGCATTAATTTGTGTCTTCGGTATGGAGTCGAGGCAGCTGGTGATAAATGTCCACAGCCTATTGGAAACGTTTATCACGAGAGGGCAATTCTTTGAAACATATCCAACTGACGACATTCGTATTAAAAATCCGTATCTTGTACTTTATGTTGACTGCAGCAGATAAGTGAAAGTGGTGACCTTGTAATTCCTCCTTAAGATAATGATTGGTTCTTGCTGTTGGTCAGGTGTCTTTATTACCTTTGTCTTCTCCGTGTTCACTCGAGCTCCTGCTTTGACTGCCTGCCCCTTCTACCAATTTGTTGGTTTATGTCTGTAGGTCTTCCAGTTTGTATGACATTAAACGTAAATTATCCAGGAAGTTCAAATCTTCAAGTATCTTCTTGTTTGCGCAACACGTTTTCTTATCTATCTTTCGTTCCCATACCTGGTTTTTGTATGATCAAATCCACTACACTGAGGAAGATCACTGCTGATAGTAGTCAGTCTTTTATCATTCCCCTTCTTTACTTCACAGGTTTCTCTGATTTTTTCATTGTGAATCACTTGACATTTGGCATTATTATATAACCGTTGGGTAGAGTTGGTAAGATTTGTAGCACTGTACTCCTTCATAGTGTTGAAGAAATTTCGAAATTACTTCGTGGTCAACGCTTGTGAGGGCTTTTTTAGGGGGTCAATGAAGTTGGGGTAGAGTATTGAATGTCATTGTATTCTTTATTTGATGATGTTGATGATGATGACGCTCAGCATCGCGACTCGGGCCGTACTGTTAAATTCATTTAAATTACTTAACTAAAATGTTAGAGATTAGGGTTTATTATAATTATTTTCAGCAGTAAAATAAAATTTAACGGAAGTAGCACTACGTCTTTGTGTGAGTAGTCGGATTAACCTTATTTATTATGGTATTAGATTATTTCATTTGTTATTTTATTGAGAAGAGAAAATGGAAATTATCACTCACTTTGACTACATCAGTCACTAGTGAAAGTTTAAACTCCCAATCCAAGTTTATTGATTCTTTCTTGATTATATCCTTCAGGGGGAAGAAAGTAGAATAGATTAAAACAAAATATTTATTTGAAATATCAGTAATATTTAATTTTTCAGTAAATAACTGTACATGTTTGTATTTACTTTCATATAATATAAAAATATATGGAGGATTTAATCATGAGCTGACATCAGTTAGAGAACCACTGGAAAACCTGGGAGTACTGGACAGCTGTTTCGTCCTAGTTTGGGACTCCTCATCAGTACGCACCCACCGGGGTTTGAACCCAGGACCTTCTGGTTACAAGGCGAGCTCGTAGACCATTGAGCCACTGGGACCCGATCCAATGGTTCTTGAATTCTAACTTCTGCTAATTCACGATATAGCGCGACCACTTCACAATGTCTTCTTCGATGAGTTACTGCCTCATCTTCGACCTGCTGTACCCTACTGGTGGGTGCGTACTGATGAGGAGTCCCAAACTAGGACGAAACAGCTGTCCAGTACTCCCAGGTTTTCCAGTGGTTCTCTAACTGATGTCAGCTCATGATTAAATCCTCCATGCAATCAAACAAAATCCCTACAAAACCAATACTTGAAAATAAAAATATATGACATAAAGTAAAAATAAGGTATTTTTTAATTATTATCTGTAAAGTTACTTCTAATTAAACATCTTGAGACAATTTCTTAAAGTCGACTTCTTACAGATTTGATTACCAGCTAGCATCAGTTACACAACCATTGGAAAATCAGAGAGTACTGGACGGTTGTTTCATCCTAGTCTGGGATTCTTAATCAGTAATATACCCAACGCGAATTGACAGAAGTGTATAGGATAGCAGTGTCTGAATAGTATATGAGCTTGCCTTGTAACCAAAATGCCTCGGGTTCAAGCCCCCATTGAGTACGTACTGATGAAGACTTCAAAACTAGGTGCAAACAGCTGTCCACGTCTTCCTTGTTCTCCAGTGATTCTGTAATTCATGCCAACTCTTGATTAAACCTGCGACAAATAAGCTGCCAGCACACTAACATTTGAAGATTAAGTTTATTTTGTGTTTCCAATTGAAGTGAAGTCCTCGGTCTCTGTTCACATGTTGACTCCTAGTGCAGACGCTACGGTGGTTTCTGAAGATTAACATGATGCGCTTTAATTGCTCGTGGTTAGTGATGAAGTATCATCTATCACTGACTTGTAGGGGGGGGGAGGTGAAGGTTCCCCCAACTGAAGAGTTCCAAGCGGGATGGAATGCACATTTTAGATTCTACCCCTAGCCATTATCAGTTAAATAATACTTCAGACAACTTTACCAAAAAGAAACAAACGTTAATTCAAAGTAAAGATGATATGGGAGATAGAGGAACGGATACAGATGGAAAAAAGAAAATGCAGTCACCTTATTCTGATTTAATAAGTACACAAAGAGAGCGTATCATTGCAATCAGTCTTGAACATGACAAATTCACCATATCATGATACTGCTGAATGGCTCATAGATATCATTCTACGTTATAGGAGTAATCTCTGTCATCATATCGTTTCAGATTCATTTGAATTTGTTGAAGGATTTCATCATGAGCTGACATTAGTTAGAAAATCATTGGAAAACCTGCAGGGAGTACTGGACAGCTGCTTCGTCAGCCTAGTTCGGGACTTTTCATCAGCATGCACCCCACCGCCACGGTCCGGACCCAGGACGTTCTGGTTACAAGGTGAGTTCGTAGACCTCTGTAATCAACTAATCAAATCCCTACAAACCAATACTTGAATATTAATGTGATGCTCACTAGTGACTGACCCTATTCAAGTAGGTAGTTACCTGGGGTTCTAGTAGAAGGTTATGACTAGTAGGGTACAGCAGTTAGACGATGAGGACAGTTAATCATCGAAGAGATTGACAAGTGGTCGAGCTATGTCGTGAATTGGAGAAATTTGGAGTTCATGGGTTGGCTATCGGATGAGGTCTCAGTGGCTTAGCGGTCTATGAGCTCACCTTGTAACCAGAAGGTTGTGGGTTCGAACCCTGGCGGTTGGGCGTACGGAACGGCTATCCAGTAATCTCAAGTGGTTCTCCAATGGTTTTCTAACCGATGTCAGCTCATGATGAAATCCTGTAAGGTTATTTGTCATATTCTCCATATAGGGAAATTAGTCAAATGGTTGGAGGCGATCAGAAGGAAGCCTCGAACTTAGGTTTCTTGCTAGTTGACAATCCCCAGTCAGTAAGGTGTAAGTGAAATCTTGAAGGAACCCATTTTCCTTGGGGGATTAGAACCCAGGCCACTCAGAAGGGCTATGAGATTAATTAAAAGTACGACCAGCTGATGCGTTTTAACATGCATGAAATCCGGGTCCAATGTTCCCTTGCCGATTGCCTCCCACTATCTAACAACAATTCAGTGTGCACCGCAATGTCAAGCCATCTAACATGGTAGCTACATTACAAACTTGAATGAGAGAATTTTGTCTGCATTAACATCAAGGACTAGACGCATGAAATTAGCTACTTGCTAATGTTCAGTGAGACTAAAAACATCAGTGATTAGTATTTTTAGCAACCAACCGGCTGACAAAACAAATAGTCTCGCCATTCGACCAGTGTTTTTCGTAAACTTTTATTCATACAACTGTTCGAAGCTTACCAGCCTTAATGTTTATTCCCTAGTTAGAAAGGAATTATCCCAGTTCATTTGGTCATGGCCAGTAGAAACTATCTGGATAAAGATTTATTCTCCAATGACATGTCACTTAAAAAGTGTCCAGTCCCTTGTCAGCGAAATTAGCATACGTCGAATAGAGCATTTACATTTACTTCTATCAACAAACAAATAACTCTGATCGTACTTCGTTTCTCTGAATTTGTCGCAGTCAAACAACTCAAACCAAACAGTGATTAATTTTAGCTTATTTCGGTAATGATCTTTCTTCCCCTTATTATATGGTTATTCTCACTACTACTGTTACTATGATTTCTTCTGATCCATTGCTCTGAAGTCGCATAACTGATTTCTTCTATTTATATTTGATTCCTTTATGTTCCCAGTGCAACATAGGCCTACAAGCTAGAGTTTTATAGTTTTGGTAGCAGTGGGGTTTACTTTTACCGCATGGGGTTGCTAGTCTCATGCCCAACCTTCCATCTTTACCACTCTTGTTGCTGGCTTAGCAAGGTAAAGGACTACGTCGGTGGTCGCGAATCGAACCCCGAACCATCTGCGTGGTTGGCGAGCATTCTACCGCCGTGCCACTGATGCACTAACTGATTTCTAATCCCTTTGAAAACACTACCAGTATAGTGTCACGTCATCTTTTGCCCCCGTACGTTGTTGGTCCATTTGGTATTTTTCCTTGTTAGGTCAACTAACAAAACTTCTCGAATATTCTCCCAAACTTATGATAAATAACCACTTTTGTTTTGCATGACTTTTAACTGATTATGCCATCACATTTCTTCCTTTGATAAGGATTACTTAAAGTAGTCATGCGATTTTAAATACTCTCTATATATTTTTCAATATTCACACCGAAATATCTTGAATTCTAGGTTACTGATTTGATTTAATGGATTTATTGTCTAAGCCTCGAAGGTTAAGTATGAAATAAGTTTAACAGAGAACTTGATTGGGAGTACAGAATGATTCACTCACAGAAAAATTGAAATTAACAAGTAAATATTACATGTATCCAACTGCATATATGATAAATGGGAGTTCCCTCCTTTGACTTTTGTCACTCCACATCTCCACTTTTTCCTGTTCTTCTCAGCTCTCTTCAGTTGGTTCAACGATTTTCCATAAACTCTCATCTCCTGCTCACATGATCCCCACCGTGTCACTTTCGAACTAACGCCTCGGCGTATGTCTGATCTCTCAATATGTGCCTTCTTTGGAATATTTGTTAAGCAGTAAGTTTATAGTTGGTTCTTTCCTAGAGTTCATTGTTCCAAATACTTTCTGGTAGGCCATCTGATCTTCAGCATGGTTTCTGTAATTCTGCAGTGGTCTGTTTGAAATGCTTTTCATGAAGCGGCAAGTTTCACTCCCATAAAGGCGAACTGATTGGCTTAACACGGATGTTATAAATTCAAAGCTTGTTCTTTGTGCTAAGTGTAGAAGCCTTCCAAATTGATTTCACATTGATAAAGGTCTGTCTTGCCTTTTCGATCCTGGCGTTGACATTCCCATTGATGCTGTATGCAGTTGAAATGATTCTACTGAGATAACTGAAAGAACTGACGTATTTGTAATTTATTCCATCGGCAGTGATATGTGTTTGTTATTGGTTTTCGGGTATGTCGGTGGGCTCTATCTTCCCTGAAGTTTTATTTTCTCTGCTTCACCCATCAGTTTTTATGGTTTTTTGCCTGTAGATCTTCACGTTTGTTTGACATTAGACATACGGTGTTCCCCATGCACCAATCCATGACAATGACGGATGTTATCATTAGTGACAGTGGCTAGCTTTCCTTCAACCTTGTTTTCACTTCAAAGATATTGTTGAATTTCTCGTTGTGGATCACTCAACACCTGGCATTATCGTATATCTATTGAAAAAAGATTGATAATGGTTTAAAAAATGCACGCCACAGTGTTGATGAAGTAGTTTCCAAATTTCTCTAAGATCAACATTGTCAAAGACCTTTTCAAAGTTGATGACGTTTAGCTAAAAATTTGATTGTCATTCTTGATCCATAAATGATTTACTTTTCCTGAATCTATCTATTTGGTGCCGACTAACGGAGTTCTGAATCTAGTAAATCTGTTTTCCCCTTTTTTTTGGTCTCTTCAGCATGATGAGACTTAAGTTTTTGCTAGGCGTGAACAACAGAATGATTCTACTCTTATAGTTCCCTCTCACCCCACCTCCATACACAACCTTTTTCTTAAAATGTACAATACATGGATTACGGTATTATCATTGAGATGTAAAGAAACTTTTGAGTAAATTAGTTTACACAAACGAAAAAAATAAACGATTAAACAATCGCCTTCCTCTTTGTTTAAATTAATTCGAAAGTGTATGACATCTTTTTGAAATC